TAAACTCTCACCATAAACAATATAAGGGGACCTTAACATGTCTGGGGGATATGATCTTTGACCCTCTGTAATTTCCTCACACATCATTATTCACGATTCATTCAGGATTATCCGTAATCATGGTAGCATCAACATTAATGTAGAAGTGTTTAGAAACCTATAATATTATTATTTACAAAATGATCCAATACATTACATACCATTGATTTCTATTGGGCACAAAATAATCAGAAACACAACCAAAACGAACTGCAAATGCATCCAACAAGTTTGTAGAGTCACAAGATTGATGTAATTATTGCGTGCAAGGAATATGAGACCAAATACTAAACTTTTGACTACTTTATTTATAAGAATCTTTAGGGGTGTTAATTATTTTCACCCCTACATTTTTGAGAGAAAAAAAGTATTACTTATCAAACAAAATCTTTCTCTGAGCAATTTTATTAGTATTAAATACTGTAATATAATATCCCCATTGTGCTAACTACACAACATACACTTAGTATTACTTTTTTAGCTACAGTATACATATCTCCCTGGCATATTACATCATTTATGCAGCAGCATACAAGACATTTTTGGACTCATCTTGTTGTGCTGTGCTCACTTGAACAGGAAGGTGGCACGACGGTCCTTCATGGAGAAATTTTGTCATCAAACTTTGTCATCAAAGTCTGGCATTCTCTAGATTTATGGTGCTTTCAAGACAACTGGGAATTCTGGAAAAAAAACAACGTCAAATCATGACGTCAGTGATCTTCAGGTCGGAGCTCTAGAAAGAGGCCCGAGTTCCCGACTTGCAATTCCGAGTTGGATGACCGCTCAAAGCATATTTTCCCAGTCAGAGCTCGTTTTTTTTTTCCAGGTTCCCAGTTGTCTTGAACTCACTGAAGTCTGAGATTTCCCAGTTCCCAGTTTCCAATTGTTTTGAACGTGGCAGAAGTCATGCTAGATTGACAGCATGGCAAATGTGGAATGTTTATCCTTTTAAGCTTGGAAAAGAAGACCCTTAAACCCAGACTTGAACCACACACCCACTCCACTGAATAGCAGGCTAGTGATTTCTTTGCCATGCTTGCAGTTAGCCACTGATTCCTTCCAAATCCCTCACTGTTGAATTTGCGATTTCCAACTTGTTGTGTAATGTTTATGAGCACCAATACGTTTTATCTATAATTTCTCTTCATTATTTCTCTTCATATGACAAGGTTTGAAAAGGATTTGCCAGTAGATTGTCTAGATTGCCTTGATTCATGATGATGACTGCTAGCTTGCTAGCTAAGATTTTGAAAGTATGATGTTGACATGATCAGTCCAATCAAAGCTACGGTAGATATAACGTGATATGACGTAATTTTATCTGTGGCCAATGACCTTGAGCCTTTTTGGATGGGCACTTCTAATGTAACTATATGGCAGCACCCAAGGGGCTTGAATTTTCGAGCTCTCCCTGTAGATTATGTGGTGACATAGTGTCCCCATGAGTGACAGAACACTGAGCCAATCACGGCGCACCTAGAGAACATTACCAACCCCTACGCTCCGTATATTCCGCTGGCTGCCCAACCACCACCGAAAGCACTGAGCTAGGCTGAAACACCTACATTTTGGAGCTGCCTTACTCAAGAAAGCAAAAAAGAGACCATGTTTGTATGCTGCTTTATTAACTATTATTTTTATTTTATTTATTTTTACATTGTTTGCAAACTGATATGTCAAAATAACATGCAAAACAGGCAAAACAACAGGTGGGGCTCAAAACAGGTGGGGCTCTGCCAAAATTCTGTAGTAACAGTAGCTCAGAACAACAGTTGAAATATTAAACTGATTCAGTCTGTCAACATCCAAGTAGTCCATCCACCAGGAGGACAGTAGGACTTATTTCCAGCATATATAGGCCTTTACTTCCACTTACAATAAACTCTGGAGGGGTAATATACATACTGATTAACAATTTGACAAGATCAATCATATATAAATTGAATAATATACAGGGCATTCGGAAAGTATTCAGACCCCTTGACTTTTCCACATTTTGTTACATTACAGCCTTATTCTAAAATTGATTAAATTGTTTTTCCCCCCTCAATCTACACACAATACCCCATAATGACAAAGCCCTAACAGATTTGTATACATTTTTGCAATTGTATTAAAGTAAAAAACGGAAATATCACATTTACATAAGTATTCAGACCCTTTACTCAGTACATTGTTGAAGCACCTTTGGCAGCGATTACAGCCTCAAGTCTTCTTGGTTATGATGCTACAAGCTTGGCACACCTGTATTTGGGGAGTTTCTCAGATTCTTCCCTGCAGATCCTCTCAAGCTCTGTCAGGTTGAATGGGGAGCGTCGCTGCACAGCTATTTTCAGGTCTCTCAAGAGATGTTCGATCGGGTTCAAGTCTGGGCTCTGGCTGGGCCACTCAAGGACATTCAGAGACTTGTCCCGAAGCCACTCCTGCGTTGTCTTGGCTGTGTGCTTAGGGTCGTTGTCCTGTTGGAAGGTGAACCGTCACCCCAGTCTGAGGTCCTGAGCGCTCTGGAGCAGGTTTTCATCGAGGATCTCTCTGTACTTTGCTCTGTTAATCTTTCCCTCAATCCTGACTAGTCTTCCAGTCCCTGCCGCTGAAAAACATCCTCACAGCATGATGCTGCCACCAACATGCTTCACCGTAGGGATGGTGCCAGGTTTCCTCCAGACGTGACGCTTGGCATTCAGGCCAAAGAGTTCAATCTTGGTTTCATCAGACCAGAGAATCTTGTTTCTCATGGTCAGAGTCCTTTAGGTGCCTTTTGGCAAACTCCAAGCGGGCTGTCGTGCCTTTTACTGAAGAGTGGCTTCCGTCTGGCCACTCTACCATAAGTGCTTTATTGATGGTGTGCTGCAGAGATTGTTGTCCTTCTGGAAGGTTCTCCCATCTCCACAGAGGAACTCTGGAGCTCTGTCAGAGTGACCATCGGGTTCTTGGTCACCTCCCGGACCAAGGCCCTTCTCCCCTGATTGCTCAGTTTGGCCGAGCGGCCAGCTCTAGGGAGAGTCTTGGTGGTTCCAAACTTCTTCCATTTAAGAATGATGGAGGCCACTGTGTTCTTGGGGACCGTCACCTTTTATTTTTAATACATTTGCTAGAATGTCTAAAAACCTGTTTTCACTTTGTCATTATGGGGTTTTGTGTGTAAATTGATGAGGATTTTTATTTATTTAATCCATTTTAGAATATGGCTGTAACGTAACAAAATGTGGTGAAAATGGAAGGAGTCTGAAAACTTTCCGAATGCACTGTAACTCACTTTGCATATGCATTTCAATAAAGCATGTGTGTCCTCACATGCCTTTGACTTAGCTATCCTAGTATGGTAAACAACATTCTAACAAATTGTTATGTAACTTGGCAGGGGAGAGTTATTTTTATATTATGATATACAATTCCTCTGCCAATAATACTTTCTATGTACTACATATAGTGTGGCTGTTACTTGTTGAAATAAAACAACCAGACATTCCAATGTTAACGTTTACATGTAATTACATTTTTTGTCAATGCAGGTGTCTCCTTACTAATGGTATTGAGTTTAAAGACCAAATAATACAGTTTGATTGTCTAAATATTTAAATTTCAGATAAGATAAAGGCCCACTAATCATTTGAGGAATGTTTTAGTGTCAATCAGGTAACCTAACACTCATCTGATGCCCCCCCCCCATCCCCAGTGAAAGTTACGTCCCTGGCCTACAGTATGAGTGGGGAGGATGGAGGATCTGGGTGGATACACCCTCCATTTTATCTGACTCCCATGCACTGGGATTCTGGGTAAAATATGTTAATCTTTCTTATGGTAATGTTGAATGATGAACAATCTCTACCTTTAGTTCTGTCAAACATTCTGTTGTTAGGCTATAAGCTAATACTAACTGAAGCTTTGACAGAACTAAAGGTAGAGCTTGTTCATCATTCATCATTCATCATTAGGCTACAGTGCAAAATATCCTAATTCTTTCCCAGTGCATGGGTAATGACACTCAGGATGGCTAAAGGATTTCATGCCCTTGAACAGCAGAGCCCCAGCTCTCTATTCTGTGCTTTTGGTAGGCACACAAAATCAGTGCACATGCAATTACGACATAAATTATCGCCCTGTAGGCTAGACAATGTTGAATACGCGTTTTAATTATTTCCTGAGATTCGTTGCAACACAGCAAATACAACTGATAAGGCAACTGTGTCCTTAAGGACGGGGGAGGGATGAAATCCAAGTGACGTGCACCTCAGCACCATCGCCTCCGCACCAACCCTTTTAAAGCTGCGCGCGGCTGCAGGATCAGTTAATTGTCAGACAGCTCACCGAGAGAGAGCAGCTAAGGATAACCGCGATAGACCTATCATATTGTCAGTATTTTTCCGAAGCGAAGGAAGCCAATGAGCAGGATGGTCTAGCCTCCGAATCTAAAGACAAAACCACGAATGTAATTCCGTTACATTCGTTTATCGAGCGCGCGCAAAGCCCGCTGAGTTTTTCGCCTCGAAACCCGTCTCCTCTTTGAGAGATAAGTTCCCATGCGATTCTTCAGACTAACATTCAAGTGTTTCGTAGATTGTTTTTGAAGGTGCTCTCAAATTCGGTGTTTTTCTTTGGGGGCAAGTGTCCTTTATTTTTATACACCTCAAATTTAATAAACATTTCATTCTGATTTCCGTCTCATCGTTGCGCGTTTGACATTGCTATACGATAATAGAGATACAAATTATAACTATTCAAGTGACTTATCCTACCCTTAAATTAAAAAGGGCAAAAAAAAAAAAAGATCCTATTCCCATAGGATTGCCCGAAGAAGAACAAAGGACCATCTTGGGGTCCAGGGAAATCGACCCGAACGAATAAAAGATTAAGAGCGCTGTATCTATTGTCCTGAATCGTCACCGATCTTTCCACTGATTTCCTCCTCAGTGTTAGTGGGAAATTGAGGGTGCATTGTTTACAAGAGCGTAATTGGCATGGAGAAACCTGCATTCGAAACTGACTGCTGTGCTGTGAACGTGGTCCTCGGGGAGGAGAAAAAGGGTCACCTCATTCCGAACGGAAACGGGCACCAAGCTGGCGTGAACGGAAGCCTCATTGGTGGAGCTGAAGGTACAGGATGCGGAGCCGCACCTGGCACGATGTCGTCAGTGGAGAAGCCAGTGCCAGGGTATCCCGAACGAGAGCAATGGACCAGACAGATGGATTTTATCATGTCCTGCGTTGGCTTCGCTGTAGGGCTGGGAAACGTCTGGCGCTTCCCTTACCTATGCTACAAAAATGGTGGAGGTAAGTTAACCAGTAGGCTAAATACATCAGTAAAAAGCTAAACACAAAATCCCTATAATGGCTGATGTCCCATAATAAAATTCCCTAAAACAATTGAAAATGTGGTTGAGCCAATAGCATGTAGCCTTAAGATGTCTATGAGAGGGATTGTATAGACGTCATAGCATCCAAAGCAATAATCATACGATCAGCTCCTATGAGAGGGCACTGCAGGCATCTCGTATAGCAGCAGCTCACATTCCTACCTACTTAATTATTTTAGTCCATATCAGAAACTGTATTATAGAGAGGCAATATCGCTTACAGTGCCCACCTTTATTTTAACGCCAGTTCAGGCTATCTATTTATTCATCATGGTTGTTCATCATGAAGATTACCGCACAGTGCACACCGTTCTCTACCCTTGATCAGAGCGTCAGGTCGTACCTCACATATGGGCCTGCGTATGACGCTGTGTGAGGGGGGTGGATGTGGGTGAGTCCGGTGTAGCATTTGTATACACATAATGTTGCTGGAGAATGTCAGAACAGAACTCACATTGCCACTGTATTATCATTATCATTGGTGTTAAATGAATTGCCATATGAAAAAAAAATATATATATAATTAAACTGACCTATCCATTTACAGATGAATAGTCTAAATTTCAAGAGATGATACATTCAACATGCACAGTGCTTGGATAGATTGGCCGTGAAACGACATGGAAATTATATTTTTGTTCCCACATCAAAACAGAATTTAGTTTGTGTAATAAACACTACATTAAAACATGACATATGGCTGTCAATAGAAACCTGTGTGTAGACTAGATTGTGGACATAGCCTGCACACCTTTCCATTGAAATGGACAAAAAGCAATACCATTATCAGCTGAACATCTCAGACCAGGTTCGGATCTAAAAAGTCAGTGGACCAAACAATTGGATCTTCTTGTAGTTTCATTAGATTGAAATTGCATTTATTGAGAAGACAATGTGATACACTCTACAGGCAAGTCCTTCATAACGTCCTTTCCTAGGTAGGCCTGTTTCGACACCCTTAGCGGGTCTGCCTACAGGCTGGGAGACCAGTAAGGGCTTTTACACTGTCGTTGTTTGCAAATTTCGCTGTGCCTTGGGGGCCATCGAAGAGGTGTGCACACGTGAGGGACTTAGTATAGTGAAGCGTTGGAACACGATGTCCTGAACGGTGGGGATAGTGTATCAAACTTTGCCTAGGTAGGCCTGTTACGATCCCCCCAAAATAGTTAATCCTTATTGGAGCAGGGGTTAGCAGGTCTGCTTATAGGAGACCCGGGTTCGAGATGAGGTCGTTAGTTCGCAAAGAAACGCTACAATAGTATAATGATGAGGTGTGTCTAAAATATGAATGTGTGATTAAACAGAGATGCAGTGTATCTGCCTCAGTGAAATAGCTGTCTCCATGTGCCCCCAATCATCTGGGTAGCAGCTAAAATGTACTTAATGAATGAAGGATTTGTCTCACTGAATAAGCGATGCTTTTGGGTTTTTTAAATAAGTGGCAGTTTGAATTAAACTACATAACCATGCACTATCTTTTTTTATAGAGTGATGGATTTGGACGGATTTCATGAAAAACTGGAAGTGGAATTCGTCACTGTCTGTCAATTAAAGTATGGTGGTTCGGCTTCCAGATAGCTCAGGATCACCAACCAGAGTAACAATATATATTTAGTGTAAAAAATGAAACCAGAGAGGGGAATCTAAATAAATACTGTCTATATGCTACACAAATATTTGGTTGGTGTATAGAGTTTAAAAATGGGTGAAGAATGAAATTCCTCTGTTGAATCCCTCAGGTTAAAACTTGTATTAGGGCTCTGCTTGGTGTTGTTATTACACTTGGGATCAATGAGCAACGTCATCTGGATAAAGTTTCTATGTATCCATCCAACTGTTTGGATAAAGGATATCTCTGAGGCAGTTCAGGGTGACCTTAACAAGAAAAGGGCACGGCAACCAGCTGGTGGGAACTGTAAGAGAAAACATAAATTCTGTAAAAAAAAACAGACATTCAGTTGTGACCTGACAGCGAGAGAAAAGAGATGTTAAAGAGATAGTAGTGAGCGTTGGGTAATCCCTTACATTTTCCTCTTAAAAAATACTTGTTTTACCCCCAACTAGGAGCTCCAAGGTAACATGAAGACGTTCTCCTAGTTCAGGTTGCCAGACTCAGTGTGTGTCTCTGGATTTGTGTAAATGTCCTTGGAGACCCCTCCAGGGTTCTGCCAAATCAAATCAAACTGCCCAAGTTGAAAAGGTCTTGTTCACACAGACAGAACCAAGCTGCTGCAGAGTGGATCTAATGAGATGGCATCTCTGCCATTCCTCAACTACAACAATGCACTGTGAGGGTGTTTGTCAGTAGGCTACCTTTAATGCCCAGGTACATTGGATACATTTCATTTTCTAAATTGATGGTATCCATCACTCAAGTGATACTTGGGTTTAAGTCTCTTTAAATCTCTTTCCTATTCCCATCAGTTGTAACATGACAGGTGGATTAGTTGCCATGGCAAATCATCTGCTTTCTTCGCCAGACATTGTTGTCACAATCCTTATATTAGCATATTTTGACTTGTTATAATACACACACAAATGTAGTTGCCAAGTGCAAGTATCTTCTTTCCCTGTCAGGAAGTATTGTTAAACATTCTATGATTTCTCTGTATATTGTAGTCCATTTTATGACCATTTTTATGAGGTCTATGCCATCAAAGCAATATTACGACATAGAAGTCTACTCAAAGTACAGTTGCCTATCAACATCATACATTTTACAATATTCACCATTCTTCATATCTATCAGCTACCATATCGGTAACTTTCCTATTATCACATCCCTAAACATATATATGGGTTCATAGCACGCAGCACAGGTGATAACTCTTCTCTGAGAGTTTGTCTGGGAGCTGTGTGATTATAGGGTTCTCCTGTGAGGAGGGGGTGCCTTCTCTCTAGCCAGGGCAGCACTGTACTGCGTAGCCTGGCCTCCTCAGCAGCGGCAGCAGTTAGCACCCAGTCAGACAGCAGCCTTCCAGCCTGTAGATTTACGAGCTCTGCAGTGAGCTCTCTGATTGTCCTTGGCAGTGTGTCTGCAGCCGTGCAGCGGACTGCGTGTTCTCATCAGAGCAAAGGACCCGAGCATTTAAACCATGTTACCCAGCAGTAATGCCCTTTGGCGTTACACTGCAGTGAATATTGTCAGAAGCTTCTTTTTCATATTTCGGTCATCAGATGAGGTCATGCATGGTATCAGGCAGACTGAGTATGCCCTTGTGTTGTTTTTAGACCTTCTTTTGAATGATAACCGTAAAGGGATTGTCAGACAGAGGTCTAAGTAAAGCACTTAGTCATTTGTCATCTTTTGTCAAAGAATACATTATATGTTGAATTTATGTTATCTTTTTACACAGCAATCTATTAAGTTTATTTTCTGACAGCTTCAGTTATCCATCAACTATTTATTAGCAGAGTAACGCTCTTTGGCACAGTGTCTAATCAGCGTACGTCACACTATCGACCATCATGTTGGCTTGCCTTTTGCAAGTGAGTCCAACGTGTGAACGGGTGTGATGCGCAAACTGCAGGGTTACAGTACGCTGGCCCTTTGCCTTGAGTGACATCATCCCCTCACCCCACGTAGACGGGCGATTATGAAGAGTGTCTGTTAATCTTTTAATCTCCTTTCTCTGACTGGGAGCTGGTGTGGAGTGGTGTGGTTTGGTGTTGTGTGGTGTGGCATGGTGCGGTCCGGTGCGGTGTTGTGTGGGCTATGGCTCAGCCTCAGGCAGGTAATGGTAGGCTATAACCCACAGGTAGGTTAGCTCACTGCTCTGGGGATATATGTAACACTATACCACATGATGTCACTTCAGGTTAGCAATGCATTCGGGCAAATGTCATGTGCTCTCTGACCTGGCGTTTAGATAAGGCAATTACACCCTGTACATCTTTTCTGAATGATGTTCATGCTGGTGTAGTGCAGCAGAGAGAATTCATGTTCAATATTGTTGCGTTCCAATAATCTCTCCTTTCTCCCATGTGCACTGTGCACTTGTTCCCTACTCCCCACAAATGTAAAAACATTGGATTGGTGGAGGCATGGGCTGGAGGGAGTTTCCATATACCATTCATTACCTTTCAAATCCATGAGGAGAAGTGAACAAGTGCACACTTCGGGAGAAGTTAGAGATTATTGGGATGCAATTTAGGTTTTGTGGTGATCTTTGCAGTGTGGCCTGTGTAGTCATGATAATTAACTAACATACATGGTATCTCTGCTTGAACGAAGCAACATAAAGGCACCGTCTTTTATGTTTGAAATGTAAGCTAATCTTTTCTTTTCACGTATTTAGGACACTGCAGTTATTTCTTTTTTGGATGCACAAGTAAGTCTGGCAACAACCTACTGTGCATTAAAGTGGTGTGCCAATCTCTTGTGCCGTAATCTCATTGTAAGCAACATATCCACTAACATGGAGATGACCAAAGGGTGATCTGTCCAAGCTTACTGGCTCTCTTGAGAGTTGAAAATCAGGCTTCATGAGTAACATATAAAGTAGGGCACTCAGTTGTAGGGAAAGCTAAGCTGTACAAAATAAGAGATGAATGATGATTATTGTGTGATTTTGACAGCATAACACAATGTCATTTTACAAATCAATACAATTTTCATTTTTTTTTTGTAGTTGCTTCAGGAGTAATTTCGCAGGACCCTACAAAAGATTGCATGTGTGCATGGAAGATACCATTTCCATGTGTATGTTAGGGGGGGAGGGTGTAGGTAGGGTTACACATTTCGGGAACTTTCAATACATTTCATGGTTTCCTGAAATCCCGGTTGGAGGATCCTGGACTCAGGAAGGAATAAGCAGGAAATCCGGAATGCTCCAACCAGTTCCTGGAATTTTGCAACCCTAAGTGTAGGGGAATATTTATATCTTGTCATGTACACCAGAATAGTAAGTCAAATCCAAGTCCACTCATGTCCCATTGGAGCTTTATCAGTGTTTTGAAGCTTGTTATAGGCAGGGCCCAGGGATCACCTGACAAAAGTATGCACCTGCTGCTCTAATCTTGGTTAACCCAGAACAAAGATCTAGCGTAGTTTGGTCAGATTTACGTAGTCTGTCCACAAGAGATTACACCTGGTCTAACCAACCTCAGTTGTACCGCTATATGCTGCATTCGCTGCTCCTGTTAGTTCACTCAACTAACCCGAAAAAGGGATTCAGAGGCCTGTCAATACTTAGCGTTCAGAGCTGCTTCCGACACTTACTTAATCAAGATTAGAAAGCTTAGGACATGCCTTATGTACCTGAATTGGTTCTCTATTTGTGTGACTCCATGTTTCAGTTTAAAGGTGAGCCTTCCTCAGGTTACTATGAATAACCTCACCAAAAGTTAAGTATACCAAATATTGTGTTTTCTTACTCTCTGAAAACACGTAGAATTGTTGTAATTCATTAGCATTTTTTTTACTTTAAAGATGTCTATTTAGTGAAAAGAGAATGACAGTATCAGTAATTATCATAGCTAATACATACATAATAACTATATGGTGAGGTTATTGCATCTCCCAGCCAGGCAGGACCATGTTCACCATAATCACATAACTAGCATGTTCACCAGTGGTAACAGCATTACCTCAGTGGGAGATGAGCAGCACCTTGTGGACTAATAGCTCCCCTCTCTATCTATCTATCTATCTATCTATCTATCTATCTATCTATCTATCTATCTATCTATCTATCTATCTATCTATCTATCTATCTATCTATCTATCTATCTATCTATCCGCTAGCTAACTGTTTATTTAAGAGGCTGAGCAGAGTCTCAGTCAGGTGGCTCTGCTAGCTCTGACTGGAGTCACGACGCACTACGTAGTTCCTTCCCCTTCTGCGCCACAGGCACCGTCTGTCTGACTCACCGGCATGCCGTCAGTGAGTCGGTCCTGTGTCTGTCTCTGCATCTGTGCTTGTGTTGTGTGTGTGTTGTGTGTGTGTGTGTGTGTGTGTGTGTACACTCTCATACATAATCACCGCCGCTGCTTCTATAGCAAATGCTTTGTTTGGAAATTAACAGCCATTTACATCAGCCCTCACAAAGCCCACATGACTACACATTTTATAGATGCTTGAGATGTGAATGAATACGCTCTCGCCATACACAGAGAGAGAGAGAGAGAGGTCAGCTATTCTTCCCTCTGATGCTGGAATCTTTCTTTCAGATCAAAGATTCCCCAATCTTACTGAGTTTGTCAGGCGGCTTCAATACATTACATTTACATTTACGTCATTTAGCAGATGCTCTTTTCCAGAGCGACTTACAAATTGGTGCATTCACCTTATGATAGCCAGTGGGACAACCACTTTACAATACAGCAGTAATGGCAACAGTCTCCTCTTAAATAAACCGCTTTAGCCTTGAAAATAATCACACCCTGTAGAAATAGCTGTTCACACGTTTTCCCATGAATAGAGGGTGCTATTATGTGTTCTTTTCAGTCACGCCCTAGATATGTATTGAACTGGATGAAAGGATTGTGATTGTGTTCTCAGGCTGCTTTACATGCTGTGAGACCCATTGCTAATTCAGATTGGTTTGTCAACCCCATCCTCTTCACAAAGGAGAGCCTTTGCTTCTGCGCATCCATGTATTCTTTCTGTCAGGGAGAAATTGGCTGTTTCCACTAGCCTGCAGAGCCCACGTTACACAACGGGTGGTGCTTTTTATAACGCAGCCCATGGCCCTCCCCGGCGCTCGCCGTCAGCCTATCAGGAGACCTCTGGGCTGGAGGTGACGTCATCTCAGCTTCATTCAGTGCAGCACATTGTTCAATGGATAATCTGCATTAAAGGCTGGAGCAGGAGCCGACTACCACTGCAAAGCCCAGCCCCCTGTCCCTCCCTCACACCACCCCTCCCTCCGCCTTCCTTGCTCCACCCCCCAGTCCCCCAGCCAGTCCTAAGCCGCTACCGCTGCTGATGTTAATTTGGAATCAGTCAGCCATGCCGTTATTACTGTTGATGGTTTGCTGTGTTCCTAGACCCTGTTTGATGCAAGCCAATGCAGCAAACAGCATCACAGTCCCATTTTAACATACTGGAGTGTAGGCATACGTAGGAGGGGTGCCGTGAGCATACGTGTTTTCACAGATAAAATGGACTCCCCTTCTGTGCCAATTAGTGGATGAGACTGAAATATGCACTCCCTGCTCACACCAAGTTCTACAAGGCCATTAAAAAATGTAACTAGATGGTAACTTAACATGAAGTAAAGTTGTGGGGCTTGCTTTAGCTCTTTAAGAAGAAGTTTAAAGCTATTAAAATGTAATGAGAACACCAAAATATAGCTGCATAGACTATAAGGTAGAAGGTTTCATGTTGCGTCCATTTGTTACCATTTGATGACGCAGAGTGATGTTTTCTTTAGGGAACATAAGAGCGGGCTGTAGTAATGGGTATCCTAATGCGTTGTGCAGCACATACATCCCCCATGGTGACCTAAGGACTGTATTGCTCTACTGCTCCATTGATCACCTGTCTGTTTGTCCCCCACAGGAGTGTTTCTGATTCCCTACCTCATTATTGGGGTTGTTGGGGGGATTCCTATATTCTTCCTGGAGATTGCATTGGGACAGTTTATGAAGGCTGGCAGCATCAACGTGTGGAACATCGCACCTCTATTTAAAGGTACTGAATATTTTGCTCTCAGCAGTTTGTGTGGCTGCTCTGAAACATTCGTACAGACATTTGTCAAGTCTTTTAACTGATCCTTTCAAATAGAAAAGCAGTTATTTCGCAGACACTCACAGCTGTGGCCTACCTACTATGTATTCCTCTATCGTTTTATTCAAATAATTTTTACACCTTTGTTACATTAAAATCAAGGCAGTTCCAATGTTCTCACTGAAATTGACATTATCGTATAAGCAAGCTTTGTCTGAAATTGACATTATCGTATAAGCAAGCTATGTCTGAAATTGACATTATCGTATAAGCAAGCTATGTCTGAAATTGACATTATCGTATAAGCAAGCTATGTCTGAAATGGACATTATCGTATAAGCAAGCTATGTCTGAAATGGACATTATCGTATAAGCAAGCTATGTCTGAAATGGACATTATCGTATAAGCAAGCTTTGTTTGTCTCTTCAGTGCTAAACACTAAGCGGTTTAATTGCTCCTTATTCTTCCAGGACTGGGGTATGCCTCCATGGTCATAGTGTTCTTCTGTAACACCTACTACATCATGGTCCTAGCCTGGGCTTTTTACTATTTCATCAAGTCCTTCAACGCTACCCTGCCCTGGTCCACCTGTGACAACCCCTGGAACACACCCAGCTGCATCGAGATCTTCCACCATGAAGACTGCCTGAATGGCACCATCGGCAACACTACCTATGGCAACATGACATGTGAGGAGCTGGCAGATGGGCGTTCTCCCATTATTGAATTCTGGGAGTAAGTTCTTTACTCACTCTATCCCAATGGAAAAACACACTATTATATTATATACCATAATTATATACTATAATTATATAAATGTATATTATATACTGCCAATAAATCTCTTTATGAATCAAACTACAATGGGTAAGATGCAGCACAATCCCCACTGGGCAAAAACTGGTTGAATCAACATTGTTTCCACATCATGTTAACCAACTAAATCTATGAAGTGAATAAGGGCATTTTGTCTTTTTTTTTTACCCAACTTAACCTAAATCAAATGACATGGTGAAATATTTTGTTGATTTCACATTGAATTCACGTTAGTTGACAACTCAACCAAATGTAAATCAAAAGTAGACGTTGAACTGATGTCTGTGCCCAGTGGGTCTTGACTGTTATAATCGAAAGTTCTAAGAATAATACATTGTTATTTGTCAGTTACAGTTAATTATTTGAAATATTTTGCAGGTCTTCGCTTAGAAAAGTGATTTTAGTAATTGGTCCACAGCATGAGTGTCCTTTGAATGCTCTGCTATTAAAGAGCAGTGTGACAGAACTGGTTAGCGTTCTGATTTGGAAACTAATTTGTCCTCTGCCCAGTTCTTCAGCCCTCTCTGTTCCTCTAGTCCTCACCATAGCTCTCTTTGATGGTCATCGAGGTCATCACATTTAATGTGCTCATGTGATCCCTGTTGTTCCCACTCTCCCTTATGGCATGTGCAGGCACATACAGTTGAAGTCGGAAGTTTACATACACTTAGGTTGGAGTCATTAAAACTAGTTTTTCAACCACTCCACAAATTTCGTGTTAACAAACTATAGTTTTGGCAAGTCAGTTAGAACATCGACTTTGTGCATGACACAAGTAACTGTTTACAGACAGATTATTTCACTTATATTTCACTGTATCACAATTCCAGTGGGTCAGAAGTTTACATACACTAAGTTGACTGTGCCTTTAAACAGCTTGGAAAATTCCAGAAAATGATGTCATGGCTTTAGAAGCTTCTGATAGGCTAATTGACATCATTTGAGTCAATTGGAGGTGTACCTGTGGATGTATTTCAAGGCCTACCTTCAAACTCAGTGCCTCTTTGCTTGACATCATGGGAAAATGAAAAGAAATCAGGCAAGACCTCAGAAATCTTTTTTTACACCTCCACAAGTCTGGTTCATCCTTGGGAGCAATTTCAAACGCCTGAACAATAGTACGCAAGTATAAACACCATGGGACCACGCAGCCGTCATACCGCTCAGGAAGGAGACGCGTTCTGTCTCCTAGAGATTAACGTACTTTGGTGCGAACATGCAAATCAATCCCAGACCAACAGCAAAGGACCTTGTGAAGATGCTGGAGGAAACGGGTACAAAAGTATCTATATCCACAGTAAAACGAGTCCTATATCGACATAACCTGAAAGGCCGCTCAGCAAGGAAGAAGCCACTGCTCCAAAACCGACATAAAAAAGCCAGACTACGGTTTGCAACTGCACATGGGGACAAAGATTGCACTTTTTGGAGAACTGTCCTCTGGTCTGATGAAACAAAAATAGAACTGTTTGGCCATAATGACCATCTGTATGTTTGGAGGAAAGATGGGGATGCTTGCAAGCTGAAGAACACCATCCCAACCGTGAAGCACGGGGGTGGCAGCATCATGCTGTGGGGGTGCTTTGCTGCAGGAGGGACTGGTGCACTTCACAAAATAGATGGCATCATGAGGAAGGAAAATTATGTGGATATATTGAAGCAAATTCTCAAGACATCAGTCAGGAAGTTAAAGCTTGGTTGCAAATGGGTCTTCCAAATGGACAATGACCCCAAGCATGCTTCCAAAGTTGTGGCAAAATGGCTTAAGGACAACAAAGTCAAGGTATTGGAGTGGCCATCACAAAGCCCTGACCTCAATCCTATAGAACATTTGTGGGCAGAACTGAAAAGGCGTGTGCGAGCAAGGAGGCCTTCAAACCTGACTCAGTTACATCAGCTCTGTCAGGAGGAATGGGCCAAAATTCACCCAACTTATTGTGGGAAGCTTGTGGAAGGCCACCCGAAATGTTTGACCCAAGTTAAACAATTTAAAGGCAATGCTACCAAATACTAATTGAGTGTATGTAAACTTCTGACCCACTGGGAAAGTGATGAAAGAAATAAAAGCTGAAATAAATAATTCTCTCTACTATTATTCTGACATTTCACATTCTTAAAATAAAGTGGTGATCCTAACTGACCTAAGACAGGGAATTTTTACTAGGATTAAATGTCAGGTATTGTGAAAAACAGAGTTTAAATGTATTTGGCTAAGGTGTATGTAAACTTCCGACTTCAACTGTAAGTGCCTTTGTCATGGCAGCAGATAGCAAAAGCCAAAGGTGTTACTGACCAACGTGGCTTTTATTGGGGACAAAGGGCAGACTTTTGTTACAGGAGTAGAGCATCACGCCGTTCATTTTCTATCCTGTAACTTGGACAAAGCATGTCGTTTTCATATAGTTTTATTCTATGACCCCCCCCCCCCCCCCTCTCCCCAGGCACAAGGTGCTGAACATCTCACAAGGGCTGGACTACCCAGGTTCCATCAACTGGGAGCTGTTGCTGTGTCTTGCGGCAGTGTGGGTGATGGTCTACTTCTGTGTGTGGAAGGGGGTGAAGTCCACAGGCAAGGTAACTAATACACATTTCTGCAGGTTCAGAAAAGCTCATCATTATCTTAGTAGGTATATGAGCAGCACAGGACGACTGCAGTGAACACGTGACTCACTCTGGTCCTTAGGTGTCTCCTATAGCTAACTGTTATGTAACAGACTCTCCTCCGGCCGTGGCAGACAGATTGCTTTACATCAGCTCAGGTCACTGCACTGGTCTCTGATTGGGCACCTGCATTAGAACAACTCATTGGCTAATGCAGCTGCAGTGGAAGGATATTGCTGTGTGGTATCAAACATTTACAAAGTGGAATGATGTTAAAACAGCAAGAAAGGTTAGTGAGAAAAGTAACAAATAGATGTGAAAGGGGATTCAAATGTATAGATATAGAGTTCTCCAAGAGAGAAAGGGGAGATAGGTTTCTAATTTAGTTCTTGCTCTGGTAATGCCTGGCAATCATGAGTGAATGAGAAGGCATTGTGACTTTTCCCTAAGCCCACATGACTACACATTTTATAGATGCTTGAGCTGTGAATGAATACACTCTCGCCATACAGAGAGAGAGAGATTGTGAATTTTCCCACATAGTGCCACCCTCTCCTGCTGTGTGACAGCAAGGCAATGACGAGGCAGTGTTGCTATAGCAACATCAAAAGGACAAGGGGGTGTGGCTATCAAATATCACAAAGTGTCCCTGTCACATGGTGCGTTCTGATTGGTGGGCAGTTGGTAGGTTGACTGCAGTGCGACGTGACTGGGGCCCCGTGCGGATATTCCAACAGCCATGTTCTCTGCTTGTTGAAGTGGGATCACATCCAAGCCACTTTAAATGATTTCAGTGTTTATCTCCAGCACTGGTCCATTTATATGGAGCTCTATCAGGATTTGTAGATCATTTCATATGTAGCAGCAATTTCTGTCCAGATAATGAGTTCAACCTCTAGTGTTCATTAACATTTGATTGTTTTTATATTTTTATAGTAATCATATTATAATTGATTCATCATTGCGCCACCTGTACTTACAGTTTAGCTTTAAGATATCTTAGGGTAGGGTAGGTCAGAGCTGCTCACATTTTAGCGAGAGGGAATTTTGATAGATTTATTAAAGGGATAGGCTTAGTGATGTAATTAATGAATGTCAATTAGCCATACATCCACAACATTTATAGATGCCATGTATAGAAGTTCTCTCTAGTCAATAGTAAAATTGTTCAGGTAGGGGCCTATTAAGGCTGGTAATCAAAGATAAGTGTTTGAGCAATGATTATACAAAATGGGTTTGTTATATGAATAAGGGCTTGGTCGAGAATGGGTGTCCTACATTAGCTGTGTGTTTAAGTGGACTGGGCTGCGGAGACTAGGTAGTCATGGCTGAAGGTGTGCCTGGGCCGCAAAGTCACAAAAAAACAATTGGCTTTGAAATCTAACAGCCCTGTAGAAAATTTCTTTATAATACAGTGGTTCATATGGCACCAGGTCAAAGTTCACAGTGTTTGAAATGTTCAGCTGATTAGATAAAGACTTCCACTTAGCTCTATCTGAGCTTGTACGGGTGCTTGGTTGGCAGGGATGTAAGAAAGAAATGATATTCCCATTGCTCATATGACTGTCCCCAGCATGTGACTGTGACTGCAATCGCCTTGTGTAAAACACCTTTGACAAAGGTAGTTCTGCAGTCTGAAATATGAATGATCAGCCAAACTGTAGTTCTGTACAGTAAAGCTCCCCACACTATGCACGTCAATGAAATTACAGTGGGCTGAAATTATATACAATCATTTTAGGTCTCCGATTGCACCACTCTGGACAGTCTTCTCATAATGTGACATCTACAGGTGTAGGATCTTAATTTGAAATGTCCTGTACAGCAGGAAATGCAAACGTGTAATGTATTCTAGTTTTAAAAAGGCTTCTAAATTTAGTAATTTCCACTTCAACATTTTAGACTTGTATCGACCCCTACAACCCCTACAAAAATGATTCACATTTCCACACAATAATACACATTTCCAGTTGCTGCAGGATTATTTTTTTGCTGTGAGAAACTGGTCAAATTAAGATCCTACACCAATAATCGAAATATCATATGGATTTAGAATAATGACACTGGTCTCCCTGTTTCCCTGCAGATTGTGTATTTTACTGCCACGTTCCCCTACGTTGTCCTGATCATCCTCCTGGTGAGAGGGGTGACTCTTCCTGGTGCCTACGATGGAATCATGTACTACATCAAGCCTGACTGGTCCAAGCTTGGCGAGGCGCAGGTGAGACCCATCAACCATCCATCTGTCCACAGTCCTAACTGTGGTGCTGTGATGCAGATTAAACTGATCCGTTGTCATTATGGTTCCTGTCTGGCAGGTGTGGATTGATGCTGGCACACAAATCTTCTTCTCTTATGCTATTGGGCTTGGAGCTCTCACTGCCCTAGGCAGCTACAACAGATTCAACAATGACTGCTACAAGTAAGTGATATGACAGCTGAATGACCTCACGTTGGCCTCTTGCTGCGCTTACTGTCTCCTGTATGATTCTGACTTGTTTTTGTGTGATTATTTTCCCCTTTGTTTTTGTTTTTACTTCTGTCCAGGGATGCCTTCATGCTAGCGCTAATCAACAGTGGCACCAGTTTCTTTGCTGGCTTTGTGGTGTTCGCTATTCTGGGCTTCATGGCAAACGAGCAGGGAGTGGACATCTCCCAAGTGGCTGAAACAGGTATGCAGAACACACTGAGGTTGTCTTATATTCTGGCATCTCAAAACCTACCATGGTACTGACAAGAGTGTATTACTGAAAGCTTTAGTCCTTTAGTCCTCATGCATGAAACTATTTATTGAAAGTGTTGATTTCATTTTTAACGTCACATTGGCAGCCTATCTAGCACTGAGGAAGACAGCTGTACCTCTTTAATAATTTAGACCGATTCCGGTCCTCAAAGCTTCATCCTTATTTTAGCCTATGCTTGTGTTGCACTTTTGGCAGTGAATTATTAATGAGATGAACTTTCGATATAGAAATGACGCCCAAATGAATGTGTAAAATGGAAACTTGCTGTACAATGTGTAAGGATAGTTACTGTAGCAAGTCACTTCTTTACTCAACAGAAATGTCAAGATGAAATATTGTTGTTCAATGTGTCAGTAATGATATAGAAATATACCAACTATCAAGAAATGATTGAAATGCATGTTTGAATTGAGTCTGTCACCATTTGAGAAATTCAAACGTAAAAATTTATTTACATGAACTGTATGTAACTTGTACCTCAACCCCAAATGTTTTCTTACTGGAGTCAACTGTATTGATTCACAAGGAACCCAGCATTCTAGAATTAAGTGTCGGTGTGTGTGTGTGTACTAGTGTGTGTGTGTGTGTGTGTGTTTGTGTACGAGTGTGTGTGTGTGTGTGTGTGTGTGTGTGTGTGTGTGTGTGTGTGTGTGTGTGTGTGTGAATCTGGGCATGAACAGTGTGTTTTCGTGTGTGTGTGTGTGTGTGTGTGTGAATTCTGTGTGATTCAAGAGAGAATATTCCAGGATCTCTTGGTATAGAGTATGAAAGACAGTGATGTGGATGATTTGTCTGTGTTTGTACGTGCTGGAATAGATGTTCTGTATGAGTGTTTGACAGTGAGGGTGACACAGTGAGGAAAGATTGAGACATTGGCAGTGGCCATGTATTTGTCCATAACATCTAAATTGTTGTAAGAATGAAATTTTTGTATGTGGATTAACAAGAGATGTGTAATTACCAAACGACTGTCACATATAACTGATCATTATTTGTATTAATAGACTTTCAAAGCACATGACATTCACAACTAATTCTATCCGTTCGGTTATTTATAGGTTTACTGGAGAAGGTAGCATCTGTGTGTGGCATGCCTGACATATCGCATGCTTTCACATCAGTGCTCTTGCATGTAACTTCCAAAAATAATCACATTAGTTTGCCGAGTCAGTTAAAAGTAGTTTGTCCATTTCCATTCAGTGTCTTAGCTCTCTCTCTCTCAATCATTATTCTAATGTATTCACTTATTGAGAATAGTAGGGAAGTAGACGTGTGACTCCATTACTATCTGCACATGTTACATGTTATTGGCTTCATGACAGTAGTTATAGATACATAGTTGGAAACGCTGGAGTGAATGAAATCCATCTCTACATGTCACTACTTTGGAAGATACAATATATTCTTTACTAATAGCATCCTGAATTATATTTCTAATATTTTTACCCTGTAAGTTTAAATATTAATTATATTTATTCAGGAGTACATTGGCACTGTTATGATGTCGAACGACCATGTAAAATAGTCGTCAGCTATGCCCATAGCCATGCTGTTAAGGAATGCACACACAGCAGAGCCATAACAATAAACGAGTCAACTTTAGTCACTCCTCAAGTTCCCCAGTTAGTGCTGTACATTTCCTGACTCCTCACCAACCAAACCATGCATGAGATTTTCAATTACTGGACCATCTCATCAAAGAGACGATCCAACTTAAGTACAGCAGGAAGTTTAGACCTATACATCTTAGGGCTTGGATTAAATCCTTCGCAGAAGAATAACGGAAGATCTGCGGTAAAATTTAAAGGTAATTTCCGATTGAGTCGTTTACTGTGAATGCAGTCCCCTTGAACGCGGGAACATTGCCTTTAAATTTCAATCGAGCTATACCTCGGATCTTCCGCGACAGTTCCGCGATATGGATTGGATCCAGCCCTTATTTTCATCTCATCAGACTAGGCTAAAGTGTACCAATTACAATACATTGTTTTGGCAGTAGTCATCTGTAAAGACACCATTGGACTGGGATTTAACTGGAAGTACAACAAGGGTGATCTTAGAAGTATTATGTCTATAATTTATAAGACATATAATATATTTGATTAGATATTTTCAGCTTTATCTGTAAAATATATAGTAAAAACATTCAATGGGACAATGATGATGGCTACATTTTGAAATCTGCAATACTTTTTTAGTCTTTTGTCCTAAGGACACCCTTGGTGAACTTAACCTTAACTTAAATAGTATTACTCCTCTACCATCCCCCAGCATGATTCTGTTAACATAGTAGACAGACAGGGGACTCTCGACAGACAGTCTTACTGTGTTGCAGGAGCACAATGTTGAGCAGTATTTTGGAGGAGGCAATTTACTAAGCACTGCTATTTGCAGTGAAACCAATATTGAGTTAATGTCCATCTGTTACTGCCTGCCCACACGCAGAAGGAGAGAGGTGGCAATGAAACTGATAGGCCTGTTTAGCTGTAGTTACCCCTCTCATTTCAACTGTACAAATAGCTTTCTGTCACTCAATATTTACTATACTGGTACTACACGAGTGCAGTTACTGTGTGTGTGTGTGTGTGTGTGTGTGTGTGTGTGTGTGTGTATGTGTACGTGTGTGTGTGTGTGTGTGTGTACGTGTATGTGTACGTGTGTGTGTACGAGTGTGTGTGTGAGTATGTATGTATGTGTGTGTGTGTGTGTACGAGTGTGTGTGTGTGTGTGTTTGTTTGAGCGTTTGTTTATGTGTGTGCAGGACTGTCTGTGTGAGTGTCAACAGGAGTGTGAGTTTGTGAGAAGGTACATTAACGGATCTAGGCCTGGTGATTTTGGTTCAGCGTTAAGACTCCTTCTGTTTTTTTTTGCAAGTTGTACGATCGAAAGAGAAAAACCTCCCCTTCCTCATGAATCTTCTTATCCTTTTAACAGGGTTTCGGTTTATTTTCCTCAGTCCCATTCTATATGACTTGTGATTGACATCAGTTCATTGATCTATATATCTCTATATATATCTATATTTTCGATTTTTTTAAGTATTAATTTAAGGATTATTTAACCAGGAACTTTGCCTCTTGAGATGTGCACATCTCGCTTTCAAGAGGGGTCCTGGAGCTGACTACAGTTGAAGGTAAACATCTGTTATCTAATGACAGCATTTACACCTTAATCCAGCCTAGTCAAAATCAGAACCAATGACTGCATTTACCGATCGCAGCAGAGGACAGGGCTAGAGAAATCAAAGCAGTGACATGACAATATTGTCCAAGCGTAGGCCCAAATTCCCAAATCTAACTTTACTAAACCCAAACACAATAAAAACATTAACGGTAGAACTAACTTGTTCGTTAACTGTGTGTACACACAAGACATCTGACAAATGCTCTGCCCCAGGCAGCATCCCTATAGCCATAGCCCCATACTCTGCAAACATATCGATAGCAATTTGCAAAACATATGTGTTTCAAGTTATTTTTTTTATTTTTTGTGTATGAACCTTGCAGTGGTTGCTATACCATGTCTAGCTCTGGTGGTGAAAGTATAGTTGCCATTTAGAAGATACATCTCCACCTCTTCCATCCCTCTCATCTTCAATGAAAACATGGACCTATATAATTCAAATTTATCTAGTGAAATTTGTATAGTTGAAGCAGTTGTAACTATAAGCAAATATTGACCACCTCTCTCTACGCTACTTCAGTGCAGTGTGTCTATAAACTACAACCTAAATGATGGTTACAACCAAGTACAGTGGAGTACAGCAAAAATTTCTTTATAATGCAAATATGTACCATGACCTTCAGTTTGTGAGGTCGTTATTATAGATACGTTTTTATAGGTAGTGCAGCTGTTTTTGCTTGTACTACCAATAGTTAAGGCTAAACAAGTTTAAATATGCTATTTAAACTTGGTTGACTATACACTACCAAGTATTTACATAAGTCAGCACATTCAGCCGTGTGACGCTCACCTGGCTTAAATTAATGTTACTATAGCTCCTACTTATTAATATGCATTAATAAAAAGTTTGTTTGAGCATTATAAGGCATGAGCATCATTGCTTATTTTGAAAGTACCTCACCTAACAATATTCAAACAAAAGCATGACGTTATACAATGCACATCGTTGTTAGACACTGAAATGATCATTCACATGCACACATTATATCTAGCTACTGCAATGACGCATTTAACAACTAAAGCCACACACTACTGTTGTGTTGACGGAATGCACAATAACAACACTCACTAGAATCAAACAGGAGACAAAAAGGCAGCCAACATTGTCACATCAGCTTTTGCACAATAGCACCTCACTCAGGTGCCTCTCTTTCTCTCTCTTTCTATCTCTCTATCTCCTTCTCCTCTGTGCAGTACTGTACGTATGTGTGTAGAGTGTGTCTGTGTTAAGGGCTTAGTCTAAGCTGTAGGGTTGAGTCTCTCATCCCTGTGTCTCTTCCACAGGTCCTGGCTTGGCCTTCATTGCATATCCTAAAGCTGTGACTCTGATGCCAATGCCCCCGGTCTGGGCTGCGCTCTTCTTCTTCATGTTGCTCGTACTGGGTCTTGACAGTCAGGTAGGACCAACTTTACACTACTGGACACAACACTTATATGGTTGCCATTTGTTACAAACCTACATTATCTGGACCAAATAACTCTCAATCCACTGGGCAAAAACTGGTTGTATCAACATTGTTTCTACGTCTTTTCAACACCCCAAAAAATCAATGAGATGACGTTGAACCAATGTGGAAAACTCATTGGATTTGCAAAAAGTCATCAAGGTGACATCAAAGAGTATTTCGTATTTTTTTTCACCTAACTTTTAACCTAAATCCAATAACATGGTGAATTATTATTATTTTTTCACATTTAATTCACGTTAGTTGACAACTCAACCAAAAGTAAATCAAAAGTAGACGTTGAACAGTGGGAAGCTTACTGAGTACAGTTAAAAAATATTTGTGTTTTCCTCTCTTCTGTCCACAGTTTGTTGGAGTGGAAGGTTTTGTAACTGGGATTCTAGATCTCTTTCCTGGAAAGTATTACATGCGCTACAAGCGTGAAATCTCTGTGGCAATCTGCTGTTTAATGTGCTTTATTATAGATCTCTCCATGGTTACACAGGTAAGCCACCGCCGTTTGACGGCAATGGTGTTGATTCCATATTGTGTAACATATCCATATCAGATGGTAATCATAAATGATAGATTATTCATTTTTCTCTTGTGTGTGCCAACAGGGAGGGATGTATGTCTTCCAGCTTTTTGATTATTACTCCGCCAGCGGTATGACCCTGTTATGGCAAGCATTCTGGGAATGCATAGTTGTCAGCTGGGTCTACGGTAAGAAACGTTTACTTTTGTGACAATTTATGTATTAACGTCCTATAAAGAGTAGTTTCAAGTTTTATTAGTCGTATGTACAGGATACACATGGTATATAAGGGATACCAATATTTGTAGTTGTGCTTGTTGTCCATTCTTAGACGGACAACTGGAGTCTCTAACTGTGCCATTCTGCGTGTACAGGTGCTGACAGGTTCATGGATGACATTGCTCGTATGATTGGTTACCGGCCTTTTCCTTGGATGAAGTGGTGCTGGTCATTTATCACTCCATGTGTTTGCATGGTAAGTAATGTACAATACTATACACACACAGTAGTGTAGAGGAGGGCGTACAAAGGTGTATATATATATATGCTGTATACCCACTTACTTTTCAGCTTTTACTTCATACACTCACTTCTTAATCCTCACGATGTGTATCAAAGTAGTGTAGTGGAGGTATACACCATATCAATTAGTAAGGCTGATAGAACAGATCAGAATGTTTAGCTTTAAAATGTTGATCAAAACTATTATTTCTTCACACTTTAGGCCCAGCAGTGTGCACACGGCGGTAGGCCTTCGCGCAAATGTTCCAAAAAATGCAATTCGCGGGAATATACAGTTCTAAAATGCACACCGCACATGCGAGCGATTTCAAGGACAGAGATGGAAATATCTGTTAGAAATTTAGAAAGATGGGAGATCTAAAGATGCAACAACTATCATAGGTTGCTAATTTGATTAGGATAACGCCTTTTGGCTGCTAGACAATGAAAGAAAGCTGAAAGAAAACCAATAGAACAGGAGAACACATATGAGGAAGTCTTTATTTCATAATTGCCTCCACGTTTATATGGTGGGATTTTAGCTATAGGCTACTTTGAAGCAAGGTAAGACATGTCTCATAATATGAAGTAAAACGTCCAGGTTTCAAATAATGAAGGAACAGGAAAAATATAGTGATGCTTATGATAGGCCTAACCGTCTTCTGGTAGATGGAAAGGCTTTCCCAGAAACCTTCTCAATTAAATGTTAACTAGCTACAAAGTAGCCTATGCCTACCTGGCAGAATGATATCATGATTATTTGCATTAATCCAGTGGCCATTTGTTTTGCATCAATCCAGTGGCCATCTCATGTGCTACAGAAACAACGCTAACCAAACAAAAGTGCTAGGTGCCTGTGCACTACAATTAAAGGGTAACTACACAAAAAAATCTAAACTTCTTAGATTTTTAAAAGTGGTCTCCTGATGTGGTTAAAGCATTGTTATGGACTTAGAACAACCAATTTAGTTTTTCTACAAAAAAAGTGTGAAAAATTCTGACTAAGTTGACAGCCTCATTTATCAGTTTCAATAGTAGGACTACTATTATCCTACAACAGTACAGCTTTGGTTGGCCGGACTATGAAAGACCAATATGGGATTGATCATTTTAGGTCATTCAGAGTGTTCACTTTTTCTCATAGAATCTTTCACACGGGGCACTTTTCCTCCGCGCCATTTGGGAAATTGTTTGGCAAAATTAACGAATACCCACTTCTCCAGTCATCAATACACCACTGTACACACACCTCTAGTCATGACTACATAGCCTGTCAATGTAAATGTGTGCCTAATTGAACTGCCTGGTAAAATAATCATGTTTTTTTTTTGTTGTCCTTCCACAGGGTATCTTCCTATTTCACCTGTTCAACTACAAGCCTCTTACCTACAACAATACGTATGTGTACCCGTGGTGGGGCGAGGTGATTGGTTGGTGTATGGCTCTGATGTCCATGCTCTGTATCCCTGTCAGCGTGCTGTACAAGCTCTGCAGGGCCACGGGAACCTTCAAGGAGGTCAGTATCGGTATCATACTGTGCTCCTTTACCAACATGGGTGGCAGCTAGCCAAGCAGTTAGAGCGTTGGGCCAGTAACCGAAAGGTAGCCGAGCCGTCAAGGTGAAAAATCTATCGACGTGCCCTTGAGCAAGGCACTTAACACGTATGCCCTCAAAGGAGTTTACCGTATAAGCCGTGCGAAAAATAAAATGCATAACATACCAAAGTGTAAATAATGAAGGAAAATCGGAACGTGGCAACCTCAGTTGACAGTTAACATTAACACCATGTAATGAATTGCATTTCCTATAATTCCCCTTGGAAGAGCAAAGGATAGCATTGAGATCATAAACCAAAGTACAGTAGTAAATGTCCATGACTTTCTTTATGTTTAGACTCAGGATGTAGCCTACTCTTTATGTTTAGACTCAGGATGTAGCCTACTCTTTATGTTTAGACTCAGGATGTAGCCTACTCTTTATGTTTAGACTCAGGATGTAGCCCACTCTTTATGTTTAGACTCAGGATGTAGCCTACTCTTTATGGTTAGACTCAGGATGTAGCCTACTCTTTATGGTTAGACTCAGGATGTAGCCTACTCTTTATGTTTAGACTCAGGATGTAGCCCACTCTTTATGTTTAGACTCAGGATGTAGCCTACTCTTTATGTTTAGACTCAGGATGTAGCCCACTCTTTATGTTTAGACTCAGGATGTAGCCTACTCTTTATGTTTAGACTCAGGATGTAGCCTACTCTTTATGTTTAGACTCAGGATGTAGCCTACTCTTTATGTTTAGACTCAGGATGTAGCCTACTCTTTATGTTTAGACTCAGGATGTAGCCTACTCTTTATGTTTAGACTCAGGATGTAGCCTACTCTTTTTATATTGCTTTTTCACTCCCTCTGCGGTTTTTCATTCACACCCATCAGAATGAGAAATACAGCAGTTTGATTAGTGTGGGTCTCCATGTCTTAAAGGAACATGTTTTCTCCTCTTTCAGCGTTGGGAGAAGCTGACCAAACCACAATGGGGTCCCCATCACCTTGAATACATGGCGCCTGATACTGACGTCAAGAGCCTGGCCTCCCTCTCTGCCAGTACTGAAGACAAGGTTATCATCTTTGAAAGTGGTATGTAGGCTATAGCCTACAGGAGAGCCTTTGACATCACTCTAAAGACCAGATTATTCTGTGTCTTGACCCTAACCTTGATAAATGATGTATTAATTTGGATTAATGACACAATCAAAAAGGATTCACTCACTAATTATGTGCAATCAATTTGAGAATGCAGATAATGTACACAGACGGTTCTCTGAACCTATACAAAATCAATTCACAACGGTCTATTGAACGGTCGATAATCTTCACCTGGGATGTTGATAATCAATGTCCCGATTGGTCCATTCTATAAACTGGTGCCGTGTTGTCTTTGGAGGGGGGATGTGCTGGGTTGATTCCTAAACTGTCCCTCCCTGTCTGTGACTCTATCAGGCCAGAGCCATAGTCTACCTATGTGTAGCCACCAACTCACCCAGTATGGCAGAATTTTTACAGGCTATCTTTAAGACTGATATGGGATTCCTTGAAATTACACATTACTGCAAGACAAATCATGTGGTACGGAGGGTTTGTATATCAACCTGTGTAGTGCTCCTTTATAAGAAATCTTGCATAAAAAGCTATTTTGCTAATTTGATACATGAAAATATATGTATTACACATTGAGATATGAATATATAATCAAAAGCATTAGTTCAATTGATATTATATCATATACTCTATATTACACTACAGTTTGTCGATTTGGCTGAGTTGATTATATAAAATACAGCATTTTTCCAATTGACTTCGATATTCTGACTTCTATAGGCCCCTCAAGCAATATAGTTGCCAAACTGTCAAAATTACCATCTTTGATCATTGAGCTTGTGTAATGTGTCTTTCATGGCAACAATAGACCTCAGAACTTTAGACATAAACTAAAGATTGATTCAAGTGCCAAATGGAGCATACTTGTCATTCTCTTGTTATTGATAGAGAATGGTTTTGGTTGCCATATACACTATCTATTTTTATTTGCCTAGATCAGTCTGATATATATTGTGTCTTCCGATTTAACTGTCTGATGTTTGGGAACATCTTGAAAGAAAACAATGCAGCTCTTACTCATGAAGCAGTTTAGATGCCATGAAACATTGTCATTGATAAGAGTGTCTATATATATATATATTTTTTTTAAATACAAAAAAAGAATATCAACGATAATCACTGATTCTATCTTCTGCACGTCCTAAGATCACTCTTCTGCAATTCAAAAAAGGTGACTGGCTGATATACAGTGGGGAGAACAAGTGTTTGATATACTGCCGATTTTGCAGGTTTTCCTACTTACAAAGCATGTAGAGGTCTGTCATTTTTATCATAGGTACACTTCAACTGTGAGAGACGGAATCTAAAACAAAAATCCTGAAAATCACATTGTATGATTTTTAAGTAATTAATTTGCATTTTATTGCATGACATAAGTATTTGATACATCAGAAAAGCAGAACTTAATATTTGGTACAGAAACCTTTGTTTGCAATTACAGAGATCATACGTTTCCTGTAGGTCTTAACCAGGTTTGCATACACTGCAGCAGGGATTTTGGCCCACTCCTCCATACAGACCTTCTCCAGATCCTTCAGGTTCGGGGATTTCGCTGGGCAATACGGACTTTCAGCTCCCTCCAAAGATTTTCTATTGGGTTCTGGTCTGGAGACTGGCTAGGCCACTCCAGACGGAGCCACTCCTTAGTTGCCCTGGCTGTGTGTTTCGGGTCGTTGTCCTGCTGGAAGATCCAGCCACGACCCATCTTCAATGCTCTTACTGAGGGAAGGAGGTTGTTGGCCAAGATCTCGCGATACATGGCCCCTTCCATCCTCCCCTCAATACGGTGCAGTCGTCCTGTCCCCTTTGCAGAAAAGCATCCCCAAAGAATGATGTTTCCACCTCCATGCTTCACGGTTGGGATGGTGTTCTTGGGATTGTACTCATCCTTCTTCTTCCTCCAAACACAGCGAGTGGAGTTTAGACCAAAAAGCTCTATTTTTGTCTCATCAAACCACATGACCTTCTCCCATTCCTCCTCTGGATCATCCAGATGGTCATTGGCAAACTTCAGACGGGCCTGGACATGCACTGGCTTAAGCAGGGGGACCTTGCATGCGCTGCAGGATTTTAATCCATGACGGTGTAGTGTGTTACTAATGGTTTTCTTTGAGACTGTGGTCCCAGCTCTCTTCAGGTCATTGACCAGGTCCGGCCGTGTAGTTCTGGGCTGATCCCTCACCTTCCTCATGATCATTGATGCCCCACGAGGTGAGATCTTGCATGGAGCCCCAGACCGAGGGTGATTGACCGTCATCTTGAACTTCTTCCATTTTCTAATAATTGCGCCAACAGTTGTTGCCTTCTCACCAAGCTGCTTGCCTATTGTCCTGTAGCCCATCCCAGCTTTGTGCAGGTCTACAATTTTATCCCTGATGTCCTTACACAGCTCTCTGGTCTTGGCCATTGTGGAGAGGTTGGAGTCTGTTTGATTGAGTGTGTGGACAGGTGTCTTTTATACAGGTAACGAGTTCAAACAGGTGCAGTTAATACAGGTAATGAGTGGAGAACAGGAGGGCTTCTTAAAGAAAAACTAACAGGTCTGTGAGAGCCGGAATTCTTACTGGTTGGTAGGTGATCAAATACTTATGTCATGCAATAAAATGCAAATGATTTACTTAAAAATCATACAATGTGATTTTCTGGATTTTTGTTTTAGATTTAGTCTCACAGTTGAAGTGTACCTATAATAAAAATGACAGACCTCTACATGCTTTGTAAGTAGGACAACCTGCAAAATCGGCAGTGTATCAAATACTTGTTCTCCCCACTGTATTGTATGTAATGGCCATTAAAAACAAATAATCCAAGAGACTTCCTCTGTGGCAGCAACTTGCAAAATGATCACTTGGCCAAGTGGTAAGGATGTAAGGATTTAGCTCATATTTCAACCAACCTATTGTTACAAAGAAAAGTCCATCTGCAGCATGTAGGACAGTATTTGGATCTAACTACAACATTGCCACAACAAGTAGCTGCTGTGCCATTTGCCAGTGACTGGAACAGGGTGATGAGTAACTAACTGTAAGGTGTTATATCATGAGTTTAACTATCTAAGTATTACACACACAGTATTAATGCTGGACACAGATCATTGCCTTATGATGTTTGTCTTAAATCTAGAGCCCATATGTCAACTCTGACTAGCCAAATTTGTACCAGGTCCTCTGAGGAACAGTCTTGAAGATAACCAAATGGGAATTCTGCCATTTACCATGATATGGATAACATATGATTTATTTCGATATAGAAAATATCATTAGAATGTAAAATATATTAAATAATGCAATGCTAAAAACTACATTTGCACATTGTAAAATAATCTCACTAGCACTTTTTTAAAATTGTGTTAGAATAACAATTTTTGTTTTGTTTTACATATTGTAAAATAAATCAGAGATTTATTTTGTGAAGGCTTTTATTTTGCTTATACATACAGTATAAAAAAAATATATTGAATATCTTGTGTGTTATATTTTAAAACGTTTGATGCAGTATGTAATTTTGATGAAGATTTCTAAGGGGAAGAGCATGCGCCATTGAGATGCTGCGATGCAGTACTACTAGAAAGGCTTGTGTGATTCATAACACACAGAAGGGATTTTTGGTTTCAAATATCAAGTGCTCCAGTGTTAAGTAGCCTATTAGATTATTTGTGTGTGTTTAATTACAGTATTTCCCTCAGACCACCCAGAGCTCAGATAAACTTTAATATTTATCATAAAGACCTTCTAATTTGCTCCACACAACACAGGAGTATTCATTTGATTAAGAATAAAAAAATAAAAATTTATTTTCTTGGGATTTCATAATTTTCAACATATTTAATGTCTGGCTTCAAGTGTAATTTATGTTCACTTCCTAGAAGCAGTGTGCTCTCGTTTAAAAAAATACAAATTCATTAAGATTAAAAGGTCCTCTTTTGTGGGAGATATTACAGAATTTGAGTTTGACAAGAAACTATAACTCTCTTTCTGTATATGCTTATTGACTGCCTGCCATGGTCCTTCAAGACTAAACCTGGCATATAGAAAATACTCTAATGCTCTCTCACCTTTCAAAATTGAAAACCACATGGTAATAGTGGGGGTTTTGGTTCTTGGTTATGAAACTTCGAGACAGAACAAACATTCCCTCCTAAATGTAGTGCTAGAACTCAATACGCCTTTAATACTGTTGGTAGCGAGATTACAAGAGAGCCACTCTGAAGACTCTATAAATCTAAGGATGAGGACACAAGGCAAGTTTTATAGCAAGGCTATGGTAACAGAAATGTTAAGTTAGGAATATTTTTTAACAACTTTTTTTACATTGACTGTCCTTGTACTCATAGATTATAGCCTGGGTCGGTCAAAAGGTGAAACATTTAAATGTAGTCATTAAATGTAGAAAATCTAAATGAAATATACATTACCAAAATCATTTGTATGGTGTCATCTTTTGCGCTCTGCCAAATTGTTCTTGACAGTATCTTTAATCCAAAGTATGACTCACAAAGGGAAAAAATGAATTTATAATGAAAGCTTTGTGGATGTATTCCATATCATACAAAATTGTAAAAAATTGAATAGATATTTAAAAAAAGACTCATTCCCCAGTGTTGAATATGATTTGTTTATTTTAAAATCAACATTAGGTCTTTTAAAATGTTCTGTTCATTTTCATAAACTATACAGACCAATTACCATGGTTACCATGGAATATGTTGTACTGTAATTATTGTATACAGTACATTAAACTGGAATATCCATAATTAATTGATACAGGCTAACGCTAACCAACTATGCAAAGTGGTAAAGAAACACTTGTTGCGACAGTTGACAGTTGAATAGCTCTTATGGCATCTGCTGTATGATTGACAGTGAACAGATAGTAGTCCAAATGGGGCTACAACTCTCCCCTACACAACAATCTCTCTTCCTCATCCCCTCTCCTATTCCAGGATGTCATTTTGAGTTTTGTTTTCTCAAATCCTACACAAAGGCATGGAAAGAAGGGTACAGTCAAGCCTGAGAAAATGGCATATTATCATCCACTGAGTACTTTGGCAAAGGATACTGTCTTGAAAAGGAAATAGTAACACTGTTGACTTCATCGAACTGTTATTATTGTACCCTGTATCATGTAAGATTTAACATCAGTCTTCCATTCATAACATAGAATAGTGATAGATGACTGTAAACCTATGTTGACATCCCAAGTGTTCCATCAACCTTGTCCCTCACAATTTATGAAGGGTTTCATGCTTAATACCACTGTGATTCTGTGCTAAAAATCCACTCGCCCGATTCAGAATAACAAAATGGCAATAAAACTTACTTCAATAAAAATACTCTGTCTTTGTGCATACATTTGAAATAATCAAACCAACTTTTAACAATTACCATTTTAAACATCTCAAGTTTAATTGTTCATTTGAATCTACACCAAGGATTTATGTTTCATCCCATCTTTTAAACTGGCAGACACTTTGAATCCTCCCTTGTTAACTGGTGACCTTGTAATGGGTTCACGGTTCTGGACTTGCACTAATGAGCAGGTGGGAAACGTCCCTTATGATAAAGAGGTTCATTCAAGCTCACGTCACTTTATTAATCCATAAACTCATACAATGTCATTATAGTATGAGTTTGAGCCTGTAGGCATTAGCTAACAGCAGCAGTACATTACCCGCTCATTCAACTCAAACCTCAGTCACCACTGCAAGGGGAAGCGATGGGATAGTTAATGCAGTTCAAACCGGTTTTAATGACAAATGCCCAGTTTGTCAGTGAAGTGCAGCTGCCATATTAAGCCAGGGCTCTAGCATGCTAAAGTTTGTTGGCTATGTTTAGCCAGTGCCCTCTGAGCTCTGGGCTATTTCTGTCTGGAGTCTAGAGCAGGCCGGCCTTCAGTCCCATACTGTATCTGAGAGAGACAGCTGCCCCCCCCCCCCCCTCCCAGCACCTCAGCTACCCCACGACGCCCCCAGAGCAAGAAGCCATAGACCTGGGGTCTGATCACTTGGGTTGACTGGCATGGAGGCCTGGAGGTTAGCTGTTACAGATCGCATTGTCAGCTGAGTGGGAGAGGATGAGTCTTTCCTCTAGCAGAGATTCGGAGGTCATGTTTCAACAGGCAGGTGAAACATCTCTGCTCACTTCCAAGCAAGTCTTACATTTTAGTCATTTAGCAGACACTCTTATCCAGAGCGACTTAGAGTTAAGTGCATTAATCTTAAAATAGCTAGGTGGAACAACCACATATTACAGTCATAGTAAGTAAATGTTTCCTCAAAGTAGCCATCAGCTAGTAAGAAAATAATTCAAAGCAAGTCTGGTCTACCATAACTGACAGAGAACATTTGAATGGAAAAAAAAGACCAACCAATGTCACAGATGATTTACCCAGAAAAACTGGAGCAGATAGTTTATCAGTGAGTGGCTTGGCAGCAATCTCAGGTCAGGGTCATATTACTGATTGGCAAGAAAACAGTTGATGTTTTACTTTTGGTCAAAGTTCAATTACTCTTTGGTTATTTTAACTGGTTGTCAAACAGTAGTTGTAGAGAACACTTCACTCAGTCCCTAAAGTGTACTAGACTATCATTTACACAATCAAACATCTGCATCAACAACACAAGTCATTGAGCGTCTATATCCATGGCTTATTGGGGTGCACTTGTCACATTGACATGCCCATCCCAGCTAGAACACATTCTTGACCTACATAGACGGGTTGGTTGTTTACCAACAAAACCGACACGTGCGCAACTATGGGGCAAAACAGACGGTGTTGGCTTAGACTGTTGGCAACATGTAAACTATTATGTACAATGAGCACTTGTCTCAAATACATTGTTACAGTTGTTGGTTAGCGAGTTTTTGCCATATTAGCATAGACATGGTCAAAACAAAACATGGTATCAATAACAAGATACGAGCTGAAATTAGACACTTACGATTCCTCAAAAAGGCAGGTTCTTGTCATTGTTGCTAGTGATCTGACCGTTCAGAATCATAAATGCACACCTTTCGACCTCATGCCTCATTTGTGATGTCAGTCAACCAGTCTATAGTGTTTGAAAAGGAAGATAACCCTACTGCATGAGCACAACCACTGATAGTGGCTAAAATAATACTTACTCATAAGAAACATGTCTAAAAAGCAAATGAAACATGCTTATTGTCATACATGACTGGAAAGACATGGTGCCTCCTGGTCTTCAATCTTAGTCTCATGAAGGAAGAGAAGTATTCAGAAAGCATATTTATCAAATCACGGTTGGATCGTCATCAAGGATGATGCAATTATGTCTCTGTGAGAGGCTGTTTTAGAACAGAAACCTTAGTCATGAAGAAAACAGATTTGCATAACCCTAACCATTTGTGCTTCCATATTTGGCCATTTAAAACTGAGTAAAAGAGCACTAGATGTACAATTAAACTAAATGATTTACTTATACAGCATGTCGGGCAGATACTGTAAATGACCAAACAGAGTTCTTGCAAGACATTGTTGAGAAATAGCTTTATTTTGCTTTACACACCAACAGCATTTACCATGCTCATACATGTAGTTGACTGCAAACAGAGATGCTGTAATCAAGGTAAATAAATGGAGTTATAATGAAACATAAAACTCCTTCCCTCCAAGACAAGGGGAAAACATTGATGTGACATAATTAACCAACATTTCTTGAAAGGACAGTAGAAGATCATATGATTTAATGCAGTTTTCCTGTGAGAAAGTCAGCATGCAAAAATAAGTCATAGTTAAATTACATCCCATTTAAGGCTACCAAATTATGTGTAATAGAATAAAAATATATAACGTCAAACGTCAATGGCTGTACAGCAAGATGGACAATATCTGCAAAACCTGTAAGACATCTTTTCTGTTGAGAATATACATTTCAATAGCCCTTGGACTAAGGAATATCACCAGTGTCTGAAAAAACGGAACAAACTATTAACAATATGGTCATGAGGAAAACGTGCCGTGTAAAAATCAGATGGCTTACAGACGTCTACCACCTACTGTAAATAGTTCAACAAACCAAAACAAAACCCTCGCCCATAAGAAAATAGATGAAAGCAAAATAACGCTCTCTCGACTACTAGGGCTGCTCGGTAACCTTGTAAATTACGCATTATAGATGAAGGTAACTAAACACTGATATTACTTGTAAACATGGATGAATCGTGTGCTCATGCTTGTTCTTAGGCATGTTAATATCACAAACTAGACAGGTTCCCATCTGCCCTAAAGGTCAGAGGGGCTATGACAGTGACCCTATTTTTACCAGGTGCAACAATTCATGATGTAATTCCTCAGATGATCCAAAGCACTCATTTCAGCAGAAGTTGCCAGGCTATATATTCCACTGTCGCCTGGTGAAAGGCCGGTTGATTATTTAATAAGTGACAAGTTCCACAATTCTTAGGTTGCTGCTTAATGAGGGATTTATTTACAGCCCTCACTGTTCAAATTGTATCTAGGAGGCAGGGAAAGCTTGTTATGCAGTTTATTAATTTTCCCTCAGATTAAAATGTAATGGCCATTTCTCAGTGGGTGAAGCGCTCCAAGTAGACCATTCCATGATCAGCAAGTGGGAAAACAGGAAAGAAAAAGGCAGAGTGTGTGAGATCGCAAAGAAGTTTAATAAACAATATCACCTTCTGTGTCTAATAACATTTGAAAGACTGAACCAACCGTGTTTTTAAATGCCATCTCAACCAATGAGATTAGAGGCAAACTGACTTCAAATGGAAGGACGCCATTCCAGTATAGTGCGTCTCATATCAGGTTATGCAGACTCAGTGTTTTAAAACCAGACATGAGTGGTGCAAGTCGGTCACACCGATACAGAAGTGTGCAGTCAGACGAGGTAAAGGGAACAAGTTATACTTTTCTAACAAATCAAGAGGATAAGGGCTTCAGAGAACACAAGACATGCTAAATCCCAGAGTCGTTCAGCCAAAGGTATGAAATGGGCCTGGGAGTAAAGATGAAAGCACTTTCTATCAGAGTAGCATATGCAGATTCCCACCAATACAATACGACGCACTTAATGACAGTACTGTCTGCCTCATGGGCCTAATGAGTAACAGGCAACACATCCTAACAGATCATATTTAATACAAGAATGAAGAATTAACAAATAGAAATAGTGACACTCATGGAATAAGATGTTTAACCACACCTTACAGTAAGTCCAAAGGTGACTCCCAACTCCATATTTTCTTTCAGATATCATCTGAATAAATGTCACCTCAACAACTCTTACCTGGTCCCCTCAGAATAGATACATTGGTTGAACAACTAAAATCAGACTTACAACGGGGGACATAGCCTTCTCAAATTCAAAGAGGCACAGGATCATCTGTTCAGATGTGCAATTCGTTCATTTAATTTCAAATGGAATGAAAATGGCTAACACAGATAAAGTATATGGTGGTTTCACAAACGGAGGCTAACCAAACAAAAACATTGCTATCCATTGTGCTCCACAACAAATCAGAGTAGCGAGGCTTTAAAGGCAGATAAACCGAATCCTCCTCCAGCAGGTCTGCACATTCAGCACCTAGTGACTTCCTGTGCAAAGCAGTGGTGGTGGGTGGCTGTTATTGACGGTGGATGTATGAACACGTCAACACTCCTCTCCCGATCAGTTAGACTTTTTGTCCTGCGATTTAGCATCACTGCTTGCCTGTAGAAGAGGGATTCAGAAAAACGATTCATACACTGAACAAAAATATAAAATGCAACAATTTCAAAGATTTGACTGAGTTACAGTTCATATAAGGAAATAAGTATATTAAAATAAATTCATTAGGCCCTCATCTATGGATTTCACGACTGGGAATACAGATATGCATCTGTTGGTCTCAGATAGCTAAAAATAAAGGTAGGGGCGTGGATCAGAAAACCAGTCGGTATCTGGTGTGACCACCACATCTCCTTCGCATAGAGGCTGTTGATTGTGGCCTGTGGAATGTTGTCCCGCTCCTCTTCAATGGCTGTGCGAAGTTGCTGGATATTGGCAGGAACTGGAACACGCTGTCGTACACGTCGATCCAGAGCATCCCAAACATGCTCAATGGGTGACATGTCTGGTGAGTATGCAGGCCATGGAAGAACTTGGACATTTTCAGCTTCCAGTAATTGTGTACAGATCCTTGCGACATGGGGCTGTGCATTATCATGCTGAAACATGAGGTGATGGCGGCGGATGAATGGCATGACAATGGGCCTCAGGATCTCGTCACGGTATCTCTGTGCATTCAAATTGCCATTGATAAAATGCAGTTGTGTTCATTGTCCGTAGCTTATGCCTGCCCATACCATAACCCCACCGCCACCATGGGGCATTCTGTTCACAACGTTGACATCAGCAAACCGCTCGCCCACACGACACCATACGCGCCATCTGCCCAGTACAGTTGAAACCGGGATTCATCAGTGAAGAGCACACTTCTCCAGCGTGCCAGTGGCTATTGAAGGAGAGCATTTGCCCACTGAAGTCGGTTACGACGCCGAACTGCAGTCAGGTCAAGACCCTGGTGAGGACGACATTCATGCAGATGAGCTTCCCTGAGATGGTTTATGACAGTTTGTGCAGAAATTATTCGGTTGTGCAAACCCACAGTTTCATCAGCTGTCCAGGTGGCTGGTCTTGGACGATCCCGCAGGAGAAGAAGCCGGATGTGGCGGCCTGGGTTGGCGGTTACACGTGGTCTGCGGTTGTGAGGCCGGTTGGACGTACTGGAGGCGGCTTATGGTAGAGAAATGAACATTAAATTCTCTGGCAACAGCTCTGGTGGACATTCCTGCAGTCAGCATGCCAATTGCACACTCCCTCAAAACTTGAGACATCTGTGGCATTGTGTTGTGTGACAAAAGTGGCCTTTTAGTGTCCCCAGCACAAGGTGCACCTGCGTAACAATCATGCTGTTTTAATCAGCTTCTTGATATGCCACAGCTGTCAGGTGGATTGATTATCTTGGCAAATGAGAAATGATCACTAACAGGGATGTAAACAAATTTGTGCACAAAATTTGAGAGAAATAAGCTTTTTGTGCATATGGAAATATTCTGGGACCAAAACTTTACATGTTGGGTTTATATTTTTGTTCAGTATAAAAGCACAATGACTAACTATAGCTGTTCATTTATACATAAACTGAAAGCATTAAGTGGAGCGGAAAAATATAGTACAGTCCATTTTGTAATTTAAACAAGTCAACACAAACCAACAAACACTGCATTGGCACAGATTATTATATAAATGAAACTATGCATTTTCTGATGATCAACTGGCCTTTCAGTAATACAAGGAACTAAAGGTTAACCTACCAAAAAACTTCCACACATGGATTTACCATGTTACAGATAAGGCTGTAAAATCTCAAGTTCAAATTACAGCACGTCTCTCTGCACTGCTTGCCCTGAGAGCTCTGATACCCGACGTGACTTCTGGTCTAAATAAGTCAACTGATTTATCCTTTGCGTATAGGTTACATGAACATCGGGCCATGGGCCAGTGAATGCGTATGACAGGGGTTTCTCCTGTTTAAATTTGAATGAAGTGGGCAGGCTACAGCAGCAGGGTAAAGGACTTGTGCCAGGAGACTTGTGCCAGGAGACTTGTGCCAGGGCAATAAAGTCCCCAAGTGATCAGGTACCACGAGCTCAGAGGGGTTCAAAAACCCACGGATCCAAATCGTGTGAACATTAAGTAGCCATGTATGCTACACGTGTACCAGACCACCTGCCTGCTGACATTATGTCTGGAGCCTCAAGTGATAGCAAATAAAAAAAAAACTTTAACAAGAAACACGACATGTGGCAGGTCATTTAATAAGTTGTGGCCTATGTCCCCGATTGCTAGAAATGTAAAATGTCTTTAATTTCATTTTTTGCAAGACATCCGACTGACTCAGCTGCCAGTAAAAGTGCAACGGTTAAGTGGGAAGTGTTCATTTCATCATAAGACTATTGCATAAGCCATGAGAAAGAGGTGGGACTGGGATATGTTCAGCATTACTAAGCTATCAGTCACTGCTCAGGTCAATACACCAGTGGGTCCTGAATGGCCACAACATGATGTAGGGTTAGTGCAGTGTCTTGGTGCAGCACTCTTAGGTTCAAGAGTTCATAACGCAATAGTAAACCGCGATAGTAAACTAGCTCAGATCCATGCTTACCAGCACATACACATGACACATCCATTGTTACTCAATGAGACTGTTGCCTGATCAACATTGTAGTCGTTTTTCTCAGATCGCAGTGTCTGTGTGTCAGGGTTTCCGTTCGGAAAATGTGGCGCTGGACATTTGACCGGCAACATTTTTTATTTACCGGACGTTTTAGAAACGTATTGGGTGCGTAACCTGATTAAGGCGTCCACCCACAGTGCTCAGAACGACAGAAATCACATTTCGATTATGGTAATTAATATTAACACAACACGCAAGTCGAGAATGCAACGATGTTTGGTCCTTCCTTTGAAGATGTTAGAATAACTGTCCAGATGTACTTTTCCTCAGCCAACAAGATGAGTAACGAACAGCAAGATCACTAGCCTATGTTGATTTACTATCCCCATAGTAGAAAAGTCGACCTACTCTATTGGTCAGCTTGTTGGAGAAATAAATGTCCTATTCCAAACAGACTGGGACAGCTGTGGGACGATAGAGCCATAATTTCCCAGTTGTCTTGAAAGCACCACAAGATGCTGCAGCGGCTGCTCTCGCGCTGCCTGACAGATTCTCCACTCAAAGGCTCTGTATCTGTATACTGTAGGCTTAAGCGTGTGATAATAAAGACGCAGACCAAATATACTGTACACACGTGCCAATTTAATTCCACTAAATTATGCAAATTAACCTATAGACCAATAAGCATGACCAGTCAATGTATTTCCATCAATGAATAGGCTAAAAAGCATTATTTCACAATTCGATTTTATTTAGTGGCTTTTCTATTTTTTTGGGGGTGACAAAAGCCGGTTATTACCAGCTAACGGAAAGCCTGGTGTGTTTGTGCCTCTGTGGGTGGGTGTGTGTACATGTTTCCAGTACAGACCTGCAGCTTGGAATGTTCGTTGAGCAGGCGGTCATACTCCACCGTCAGGTTCTCAGCCTGCTTCTTCATTGCCTTCACGTCACCGTCAGACTTCTGGAGGACTAGGCAAGCCACACACACACACCATACAGTCAGGACAAGAGGGCAGGCCACTGTACATTGGTCTTTTCTCCCCATTTTCATCTCTACAATACATCACCATCCAGCTATCACCATTTGGTAGAGAGAATCTCCACTAGAGGTAAAAACTGTTAGTCACCTTTCTTGGTGGCTTCCAGCTCATCCTTCAGAGAGCGAACCTCTGCCTTCAACGTCTTGTTCTCCTCCTGTACTCCAACGCCAGACGGCTTCTTGCCCACCTCTGGGACAGCGACGCCGGCATCCTTCAGTTTCTGACAAGAAAAATGAAGAATTCCCTTTAAAACAACTGATTACAGGTTGTGGATAGCTGACTATACTGAACAACATGCAACAACTTCAAAGATTTTACTGAGTTACAGTTCATAAGGAAATCAGTAAATTGAAATTAATTAAATTAGGCCCTAATAGAAGAACTGGGATATTTCAACTTCCAGGAATTGTGAACAGATCCTTGTGACATGGGGCCGGCCGTGCGTTATGCTGAAACATTATATTTACATTTGAGTCATTTAGCAGACGCTCTTATCCAGAGCAACTTACAGTTAGTGAGTGCATACATTTTTCATACTATGTGTGGCGGAACCATGCAGGCATTTTTTCCTGGGAGCTGGTTTCTAGCTGTATACAGTGGGGAGAACAAGTATTTGATACACTGCCGATTTTGCAGGTATTCCTACTTACAAAGCATGTAGAGGTCTGTAATTTTTAAATCCAGAAAATCACATTGTATGATTTTTAAGTAATTAATTTGCATTTTATTGCATGACATAAGTATTTGATCACCTACCAACCAGCAAGAATTCCGGCTCTCACAGACCTGTTAGTTTTTCTTTAAGAAGCCCTCCTGTTCTCCACTCTTTACCTGTATTAATTAAACCTGTTTGAACTCGTTACCTGTATAAAAGACACCTGTCCACACACTCAATCAAACAGACTCCAACCTCTCCACAATGGCCAAGGCCAGAGAGCTGTGTAAGGACATCAGGGCTCCATGCAAGATCTCACCTTGTGGAGCATCAATGATCATGAGGAAGGTGAGGGATCAGCCCTGAACTACACGGCAGGACCTGGTCAATGACCTGAAGAGAGCTGGGACCACAGTCTCAAAGAAAACCATTAGTAACACTACGCCGTCATGGATTAAAATCCTGCAGCGCACGCAAGGTCCCCCTGCTCAAGCCAGCGCATGTCCAGGCCCGTCTGAAGTTTGCCAATGACCATCTGGATGATCCAGAGGAGGAATGGGAGAAGGTCATGTGGTCTGATGAGACAAAAATAGAGCTTTTTGGTCTAAACTCCACTCTCCGTGTTTGGAGGAAGAAGAAGGATGAGTACAACCCCAAGAACACCATCCTAATTCTTTGGGGATGCTTTTCTGCAAAGGGTACAGGACAAGTGCACCGTATTGAGGGGAGGATGGATGGGGCCATGTATCGCGAGATCTTGGCCAACAACTTCCTTCCCTCAGTAAGAGCATTGAAGATGGGTCGTGGCTGGGTCTTCCAGCATGGCAACGACCCGAAACACACAGCCAGGGCAACTAAGGAGTGGCTCCGTAAGAAGCATCTCAAGGTCCTGGAGTGGCCTAGCCAGTCTCCAGACCTGAACCCAATAGAAAATATTTGGAGGGAGCTGAAAGTCCGTATTGCCCAGCAACAGCCCCGAAACCTGAAGGATCTGGAGAAGGTCTGTATGGAGGAGTGGGCCAAAATCCCTGCTGCAGTGTGTGCAAACCTGGTCAAGACCTACAGGAAACGTATGATCTCTGTAATTGCAAACAAAGGTTTTTGTACCAAATATTAAGTTCTGCTTTTTTGATGTATCAAATACTTATGTAATGTAATAAAATGCAAATTAATTACTTAAAAATCGTACAATGTGATTTTCTGGATTTTTGTTTTAGATTCCGTCTCTCACAGTTGAAGTGTACCTATGATAAAAATTACAGACCTCTACATGCTTTGTAAGTAGGAAAACCTGCAAAATCGGCAGTGTATCAAATACTTGTTCTCCCCACTGTATGTCCTGTCTTGTATGTCTGTTTTATTTAAGCTTTACAAGTTCAGTTGTCATACTATTTGTCCCATTTTTTGTTGTTGATAAAGTCACTTTTACCTTGTAAAGTTTTTAATTGTGAATTAAAATTAAAAACATGGATTTTTATTTTAGAGATTTATGTGGTCCATTTGTTTTGTTTTTATCATTCAGCAAGTAGTCCAAGTCATCCATGGTTCTGTTACTCCGGCAGTGTTGATGGGAGGGGAAAAATAATATCCCTGAAATCTATTGAAAATCACTTATTAGCGCAAGTGTCAATGGCCTTTCCAAAACATGAGGTAGGTAATATACAGGCCATGGTCTCACATGAGGTGACTGTGGCAGATGAATGACACGACAATGGGCCTCAGGATCTCATCACGGTATCTCTGTGGATTCAAATTGCCATCGATAAAATGCAATTGTGTTCGTTGTCCGTAGCTTATGCCTGCCCATACCATAACCCCACCGCTACCATGGGGCAACTCTGTTCAAAAGATTGACATCAGCAAACCACTCAACCACACGACTCCATACACGTGGTCTGCGGTTGTGAGGCCGGTTGGACGTACTGTCAAATTCTCTAAAACGACGTTGGAGGTGGCATATGGTAGAGAAATTAACATTCAATTATCTGACAACAGCTCTGGTGGACATTCCTATAGTCAGCACCCCATGGGTCTCCCGGTCGCGGCCGGCTACGACAGAGCCTGGATTCAAACCAGGATCTCTAGTGGCACAGCTAGCACTGCGATGCAGTGCCTTAGACCACTGCGCCACTCGGGAGACAAGGAAATCAGTACATGTTGTGTTTATATTTTTGTTCAGTGTAAAAATTGTTACAGGAAAGTATGACATTTGGACATATTGTGGTTTTCATTAAGTCTTATTGATGAATTACGGGTAGCTCTGTGAAAACAATTTCATGCCGATAGGAATATAAAGAGCATGGGTAATTGAGCCATACAAGAGTCCAACAGCATAAGTACTCCTACTGTAAGCAGGTCGCCATCTGCTTTTCACTGTGGACTTTAGGTAAATCAGCATTGTATATAGCCTAAGTCTCTACTAGCTCAGACCCATGCTTCCCACATGTATGATGACTAGGGCCCTGTGTTTCGGTTAAATCGTGTCACATGACCTGGTTCTGAACCTTATCCAGAAACTAGAACTACACCAAAAATGAAAGCAATTGTCTGAGGATGGTGTTGGACCATCTGCCATAAAATGACAAAAAGGGGCAAGTTTGATGAAAAAGCTTTAAATAAAAAGGTTAAAATCCAGGTCATGTGACATAATTAACCAAAACACAGGGCCTTACTGACGACCCATCCATTGTGTCTCACTAAGATTGCTTCCTGTTTAATATTACTGCAGGAGGTGCGCTCAGACGGCCCCAGAATGACTCCATTCCATGGCCACCAGAATAATTCTGCAGCTGCATGGACTTAGGGCCGGGACAATACCAGTATCGCGATACTCAGTATCCTGGCAAAGAAACAAAACACGAAGCGGACTTCACTTCTTTAGGAAAACAGACGTAATGTTGGAAACAAACATCATGGTTGTCATCCAGAGTCACATTAAATTTATTTTCCATGTTATTGCACACACTATTTTACATCAGGTTTTAAAAAGGACCAAAGGGGTTTGGTCTGCCTTGCGTTTTCATTTTTGCCATGTAATAAATAGTGATACTGGTATCGTCACAGCCCTAATGACCATTAGCCTACATAAAGCTAGTGTGACCTGCATCTACTGGTTCCATCCAGCCAACAGCCTCAGAACCTAACAGACGTTCATACCAAGCCCACCACCCAGCTGCTGGTCTTGGCCCTGAGCCTCTTGGGATTGCAGCAATGACTCAAAACCCCCTTCCACTCCCAGGCTCCCATTCCTAGAATCATCCACCACAGCACTCATGTCTGAGGTGTATGACGGTCTTAAGCAACACACCACAGCCTACATGCCCTTCACTCCCCTGCTGTTTCCCCCAATGACCTGATATGGCCTTCAGAGTTAATACAGTGGTACTCTGAACACACTGGGGAACAAATCCCTATTCCGAGCAGGATTTGACCAGAAATAATCATAAAAAAAATAAATAAATAAAAACACTAACGGTTGAATAAAATAAACACATTCAGGAAAGAGCATCTTGACATTAACCCTAATTCAGTAGTAAACAGCACACGACTGACGGGAACGATTTCTGGTACAGCCAGAGGAGGACTGGCCACCCCTTGGAGCCTGGTTCTTCTCTAGTTTTCTTCCTAGGTTCCTGCCTTTCTAGGTAGTTTTTCCTAGCCACTGTGCTTCTGCCTCTGCACTGCTTGCTCTTTGGGGTTTTAGGCTGGGTATCTGTAAAGCACTGATGTAAAAATGGCTTTTTCAAATACATTTGATAGGGTCAATTTCCTGATATGCGGGCCAAAAACAAGGGAAGGAATCTTCTGATGGTATTTGCTGAAGACATTGGTTCTGCACTAGCTAAAACCTGTGAGCTAGGTAACAACATAAAAAAGGTTGGGTGGAAACCTGGTTTATGCAAGTAAAGTACAAGTCAGATAAAATTGTCACGTCAGGCAGTAGGTAAACAAAATACGCTAGACAAGGTGGGCTCTTTGTGTTGGTAAAATTCATTATGGGAGAAATGGCAGTGGAAAAGCTTTTAATGTGCAAATATTGATATAATAACCACCATATCAAAGTCAACTTGGAGTCACATGATGACATGTGTGGTACTCCCACTAAGACTCGGGAAAGCATGCAGTTTTAGGATACAGATGAAATAAGTTATGATGAACTTCAGAGTGGTGAATGTGCAAGTTGAGCTTGACACGCCTTTCCAATAAATATCAAGGGTCTTATTCTGGTGACATGATGATCGATGCTTGGCTGCCGTTTGACAAATACAAATAAAATCGAGGTCATTTGTCCATAATAATCTCATAATGTAGGCTAGCCTACCCGCACTGTATATTGCAAACTGTTGGCTAGAGCGCAGGTGCCTATATCAGAGTTGGCACCTTTGCTATAGAACGCAAATAGTTTTATGCGAATTTTGTCGCCAATTGGATGGAAACCTAGCTATAGATGCAGTTCAGCTAGCACATGCTACAAACATTGTGCATCAACAACTGTTTGTGGAACCTAAACCCTTCACTGGGTTTCCAGAGAGATCTTTAAAAAGTTCAAGCCTGACCCTAGTGACATCTTACCAGAACAGTCCATTTTAGAAAAATACTCTGGTGGCCATTTAGAAGGAATGCCGCCACGGCTACCAGGGGTCAAACCTGAGATGGCCCGATTTCCAAATATTTTAATGAAACATGTTTTGTGCCTTTATCACAAACTGAACTGTTATGATTAGCTGCCCCACTAAGTGAGTCATTGTAATCTAGCTAGTTGGAACAGCAATGTGAACTATGATCTTATTTGATACCTTGCTTTTGATAGTTTCCTCTGATCCATCTGCATTTTCAAGTAAATTGATTGTGATACCCAGCGAAATCAACACTATCATTCAAACCAAAACATTCAAAGTAATTTGCACGATGCATTGGTACAAATCATTTAAAATTATAAGAGACGATGGCAGAAACATTATGTACAAAATAAATTACAAATAACGCGGAAAAACACACATAATAGTACAATTGGTTAGAGGGCTGTAAAACGGCAGCCATCTTCTCCGGCGCCATAGATCAGTGGCGCCGTAAATCATTGTTCTTCCTCTGTTAACCATGGTTACCTGCAAGGAAACACGTGTCGTCATCATTGCTTTGCACAAAAAGGGCTTCACAGGCAAGGATATTGCTGCTAGTAAGATTGCACCTAAATCAACCATTTATCGGATCATCAAGAACTTCAAGGAGAGAGGTTCAATTGTTGTGAAGGTGTCAGGGCACCCAAGAAAGTCCAGCAAGCACCAGGACCATCTCCTAAAGTTGATTCAGCTGCGGGATCGGGGCAACGCCAGTGCAGAGCTTGCTCAGGAATGGCAGCAGCGAGTGCATCTGCACGCACAGTGAAGCGAAGACTTTCGGAGGATGGCCTGGTGTCAAGAAGGGCAGCAAAGAAGCCACTTCTCTCCAGGAAAAACATGAATCCCCTTTCCGATTGTTTGGGGCATTCGGAAAACACCTTGTCTGGAGAAGACCATCAGCGCTACCATCAGTCCTGTGTCATGCCAACAGTAAAGCATCCTGAGACCATTCATGTGTGGGGTTGCTTCTCAGCCAAGGGAGTGGACTCACTCACAATTTTGCCTAAGAACACTGCCATGAATAAAGAATGGTACCAACACATCCTCCGAGAGCAACTTCTCCCAACCATCCAAGAACAGTTTGATGATGAACAATGCCTTTTCCAGCATGATGGAGCACCTTGCCATAACGCAAAAGTGATAACTAAGTGGCTCGGGGAACAAAACATCGACATTTTGGGTCCATGGCCAGGAATCTCCCCAGACCTTATTCCCATTGAGAACTTGTGGTCGATCCTCAAGAGGCGGGTGGACAAACAAAAACCCACAAATTCTGACAAACTCCAAGCATTGATTATGCAATAATGTGCTGCCATCAGTCAGGATGTGGCCCAGAAGTTAATTGACAGCATGCCAGGGCGGATTGCAGAGGTCTTGAAAAAGAAGGGTCAACACTGCAAATATTGACTCTTTGCATAAACTTAATGCAATTGTCAATAAAAGCCTTTGACACTTATGGAATGCTTGTAATTATACTTCAGTATACCATAGTAACATCTGACAAAAATAGCTCATAACACTGAAGCAACGAACTTTGTGAAGACCAATACTTGTGTCATTCTCAAAACTTTTGACCACGACTGAACATACCACACCATGCAACACATCACCAGGAAGACAGAATCCATGTCCTGGAGGGACATAGGGAACTATCACTGATGTCACTAGCACCTGATTAAGGACTCATCTGACAAATGCAATAGTTTAAGGACTTCCATTTGAAGAGTGTCCCAACTCTAGGTCTAATAGGAGAATAGCTTTATGTCTAAATAATATCAGACAGATCAGGGTTAGGATTTTCCCAAAGGGGGAACAGGCCTTGTATCTAGACCAGAGGATTTGGGTTGTTCCTTACAGATTCTAAGACCAGACAGAATCTACTAATCTAGGCTAAGAAATGTTGCATGCTGTAAAATACATTAAGAATCAAGCAGTTACAGTGCATTTGTTTGATGACGCAAGTGAAAAAGCAAAACACGTAGCTAGCCTAGTTGTAGCTAAGATTGACCATTTATGGCAAGGAGCCTCATACACAATCTTGGTTAGATCAAAGAGAAGAAACACATTTCCATAACTCCCAGTTCGAGTCCTCTGCAGTAAGCTCAGTCCACTACAGAAGATGAGGTGTATTCATTCTAGTTTATAAACTGGGTGGTTTGAGCCCTGAATGCTGATTGGCTGAAAGCCGTGGTATATCACACCGTATACGACGGGTATGGCAAAACATTACTTTTTAATGTTCTAATTACGATATATCACACTCCCTCGGGCCTTATTGCTTAAATAGATCAATAGCTGGGTTAGTCAGAGTCTGGCTCAGATAGGCAGTGCAGGGAATCAATAGCAATATGGACAGCCATTACTCAGTGATTGGGTAGAGGGAGCCCAGAGGATTATAGGGTCAAGGGACGTACCCAATAGTTCATTTCAGGGTTAGCAATGCCTGAGACTTCTGAGGACGAGCTAGTCACAATACATTTAAAGCCTCTGGCCTTGGTGAGGGATAAAATAGATTAATAAATAATTTGAAATAAATCAGTTCTCTTTACTGTAAACCAGGGATCATCAACTACATTTAGCCGCGGGCCAATTATTTATTGAGCGGATGGTCAGGGGTCCGGAACATAATTACTCATAAATTCGTATACTGCAAATTGACAGTAAGAAACCTAAACAGATATAATATTTGACTAAAACAATTTCAAATCTTGCTTATACAATCACATATCTCGTTTACGTAGGAATACTTTGGAAGAGATTTCCAAAATTAAAAATCACTTGGAGCTGATTTGCTGGCGGGCCAAATTTGTGTAAATAAAACCTCCATCTAAACGTAAGAGTCCAAATTGAAATAGTTCCATCCCCACATTGCTGCAGTGTTGTATATTATCTAGCTTATGGTTCCACTCTTCAGCACGTTAGACCCATTTGCTGGTCATAAATAATGACGGCATGTTCAGGCCCTTGGCTTGTGGAGCATCCACATGCATGGTGACCTTCTGCAAAACCGAGATCCATGTTTTGAATGATTACATTGTCACCGCCGTAGTTGAGGTGCATTACAAGCTTCAGCCGCAGTGCTTATTTACCAAATGAAACCAGTTTGTTGATTAAATCTAAACTCAAAACACTCAGCCCATAGACAGACCAGAATATATGTTTGCTCACTCTAATTCAATACCCATTGGTAGGAAAATATTCCAAGTGTTTATAAATGCTTTGGAGTAAATGAAGCCTTCTTCCAAACACTAGTAGGTTTGTTAATATTATATGGGTCTGGACCTAATCCCTATAATAGCCTGAATAAAGTGAGCTGCAAAGGGAAACCTCAGAAAAGTGGCAGTTCTGATCTAGCAGAACATTCATATCCTGGTCAAGACCAAACACGTCAGCAGAGAGTACTCACTAGGCCTATATTGTGATGTTAAAGTAGCCTAATTCCACTAACGTACTGCTTTTCATATCAAACACTTAATGTGGCAATAACAAGGGACCTTTTAGAGCCATCATAGCAATTGGGATAATGGTTGGTAAAAAACTAAATAATTATTGTTTTTTTGCTAATCTCTTGGATGACTGATTCAAAAACACACTGATTGTATCTCAGGTGAGGATGAAGCCATTTAAAATGTTAACTGCATGAATGACACCCTACTAAACCAAGGGTACAGTGTTGCCCCCCTGTGGCTGTCAAAGAAACAGCAGCAGAACGCTGGTTAAATGAAACTTCCACGCATCATTCTGCCTTTGACACCCAGCACCTAGCTCTGAGAAATGTTGGACAGTCAAACAGTAAACCACAAGACTTTAGTAAGCACAGGAGGACATCCTGTCCCACATAAATCACATGCAGGCATTTACCTCAATATATCTAAGGATGTCTTATGTGTTGACCTTACCGAGAAAGCTAAAAAACCTGTAAAGGTCACGATTGACATTAGAAGCACAACAGCGTCCTGTATAGCACCCAACCCCAGCTCACCGCCTGCAGTTCCTCATTCTCCTGCATGTACTTCTTGGCAGCATCACTGGCCCCCTCGGCTTGCTTCTTGAAGGCCTCGTTGGAAGCCATCAAAGTGGCCTGCTGAGAGAGCAGGGTGGCCAGCCGCCTCAGCAACCTGGACATGGGAAGGGGTTAAAACTTTTAAGAGTGTTTCAAGACAGTTAAGATTTACGACAATATACTTTGTCCATTTACATGGAAATTCATTTTGTGACATCAGCATATAAATACAGAATACATTACATGCAGTATGGAAATCTGGAGAGTAAGACAACCATGGTTTAGGCCCAAGACTTGCACTAGTCATTTCATAGTTTCAGCGGTATCCAAGGAATCATGATGAGGTAAATGGCAGCATTTAAGGGTATCAGATGATAAGACATCTGTGTGAGTGATGGGCCCTTATTGAGAAGGTCATACTGGACCCAAGATAAAATGACAGCACATTAAATGTGAAAGCGCATCACACTTCTAGGAACTGTAAATGTTTTCAACTTACAACAGTTGACCAGAAAAATGTCTGTCTAATCAATTAACCAAGGGCAATGTTGTAAACATATTTACCTCAATTTCATACTTGAAACAAATCAGAAATATAAATCCAGTCAATCTGAACTATTCATGAATTTCTAATAAATTAAGTTCTTAGGTAATATGACATCATTATGCATTTCATGTTATCCTTTAACCAGCCTGATCTCAAAGACTAGATGTAACTTAGTAAACGTGAATCCAGGACACTCAAATGAGTATGATATGTTACGTTTGGTATGGTTACATAAGGAGGCTAAAACAAAAAGTAGGGTGGTTGGTCAGGGAGGATGGGTGGGCGTAACGCACAAAGGTTGAGAGCACGAATCTCCTCACAAACAACTTTATAACTACTTACTACTCTATATTATTTTATTATTTATTTTTAGTCATTTAGCAGACGCTCTTATCCAGAGCGACTTACAGGAGCAATTAGGGTTAAGTGCCTTGCTCAAGGGCACAGACAGATTTTTGAACTAGTCGGCTCGGGGATTAGAACCAGCAACCTTTCGGTTACTGGCACAAAGCTCTTAACCACTAAGCTACCTGCAGCCCCTTTAGCTACTTAGTCCTTTTCACTAACCTATTAACCTAATGCCTAAACTTAATCCTAAACCTTAGCCTAGCTAGCCAGAATTCGTAACATATCATACGTTTTGCAAATTCGTAACATTGTACGGTTACATACCATACGAATCGTAACATATAGTAAATGGAGTGGCGCATTTACGTACAGAATAATACAAAATGCTTTGAGACCAGATTGCTTTAACAAACATAAGGTGTATTAGAGCCAGCTAGTTAGCTGTGATGTTTATATCAATCTCATCAGCATGATGTATATGCTTCTTCAAAATGTAATGGAGATTTAAGTGATTACTTGTATGCTAAGGAACTGCATGGATAGTTCCGTCAATCCTGCCATAAGATCAACTATAACAGCATTTATACACACTGTGGTGGTGGATTCTCCTTACACTCAAATAGTATATGCAATATATGGCATAAATAAGTTCTGAGATCACTGTATTCGGCAAGGTAGAAGATAAGCGTCAGCATTGTAGAGAGTTACACTGGGGGCAGACGAATGTAGTTAGCCTAGTTTGCTCTCATGCTCCTGTCACACAAACTGACCCTCTGCTCAGTGCCTGTTCAGTTACTGTTAAAACGTCAACACATATCACAACTACCTCACAACACTTTCATAGTAACACTCATTTGCACTACAATTACACTGCTTTTAATGAACAAAACCATAAAGGATGGCGTTTGACGTTTATTTGATATTCCTACTCGTTTGTTTATTGCAGTGGTTGTTGACATTTAGAAAAGCCATATCACTGCACTTGAAAACAGCATAGGGCAAGTCAGGATGTTTCAAGTTTTTAATGTCACGTGCACAAGTAGTGAAATGCCTTTTTTGCGAGCTTCAAACCCAACAATGCCGTTCTCAATATCAATGTAGCACTAAAAATAACATAAGGTGGAACAAAAACCAAGAAATAAAAACAGGAGAAAGTAAGAAGCTATACACACAGGGTCAGCTCCAATACCATATTTGTAAACAAACGTCACCGTCATTTCATCTGTATAGTTATATCATCGTTGTAATTCCCTAAAATACGCAGAAGCGTTGGATGTAGTACTAATATCACATAAATGATGCCTCCCCGTTGCCTTTAAAACAAGGACCGCAAACTTTCAGCAGACCTAATACAAAAACAGGAGCAAACCCTTCCACAGTGGAAATATGGCTGCAAATAATCTAACAATCTCTGATTTACAGCATATTATTTGCATTATCAACTAGATTCAGCTATGGGCCAATTTTTTCTTGAGTGGATGGTGTAATTACAAATAATTTGTAGACTGTAAATTGACCACAAGAAGCCCAAAACAGATATATGACAAAAACAGTAATTTCAAACCTTGCTTACGTTTGTTTAAAACCACGTGTCCACAATAGGCTTGGGAGGTATACAGTATACTGGGGTATTTGTAAAAAGCCACAGGATGGTTTCTCAATATCTTCCCCAATTTTTTTTTAAACGTTTTTTAATAAATGTGAATATTTGTAGGTACTTTTTAAGTGAATACCCGCAGTCAACTTGTGCAACGCGTTAGGAGAGCAAGCAGATTGCGTTCTTCATTTCACCAGTCACATTATTTTACACGACGACGCTTACCGTAGTTCCCCAGAACAGTTGAGCCAGTCATGTGTTGTTTGTAAATAGCACAACAGGAGAAAGCAGGAGATGGTGAGTACATAGCGTTCTACATCTACCGGCGAGTCTCTGTTCGACAGCACACGAGGTGAAGTTAAACTTGTATGCAATTCACTACTAAATGTTTGCCATCTGCTATCTTATAATGGCTTCCTGCCAGAAGCAGGGTTTCTGTTAGGAAAATGTGGCGCTGGAAATTTGACCGGCAGCATTTTAAATGTACCGGACCCATAAGCATTGGGTGCATAACCTGATTAGGGCATCCAGCCACGGTGCTCAGAATAACAGATATCATATTTAGATTATGGTAGCTCTCATTAACAGAACATGCAAGTACAGAATGGAACGATGTGCGGTCCTTCTTACCTAATTCCGATGCGCACTTTGAAGACGTTAGAATAACTGTCCACATTTACATTTTCAGCCAGCAAGACGAGTAACGAACAGCAAAATCACTTGCCTATGTCGATCAACAATACCCCATAATAGAAAAGTTAACCTATTCTATTGGTCAATTTGTCGAGATAGAAATGTCCTATTCCAAACAGACTCTGGGACAGTTGTGGGATGATAGATTCAAAATTCATACAACCAATAGGCCTAGGCTACATTTTTTAAAAATCGTTAAAAAGCTACATGAGTATGATGCAACAGATCAGAACATTTAGCTTCAAATGTTGATTAACTATTATTTCTTCACATTATAAGCGCAGCAATGAGCACAAGGCAGTAGACTACACGCGATTGTTCATATTGCAATTGGCGGGAAAAACATTTTTTCAAAAGCGCACGGCACATGCGAGCGGTTTCATGTGACAGATGAAAATATCCGTTAGAAATTTAGAAAGAGGGGAGATCTAATATGCAACAACTAGCATGGGTTGCTAATATGCCTAGGGTTGTGCCTTTGGCTACTGGACAATGAAAGAAAGTTGATCTAAAATAATTGCCTCCACGGATACGGTCTAATTTTGGCTAGGCTACTTTGAAGCTAGGTAAAACATGTAAAGCTAAGTAAAACGTTGAGGTTTCAAACAATTAAGTATACACTACCAGTCAAAAGTTTGGACACACCTACTCATTCAAGGGTTTTTCTTAATTTTTTTTACATTGTAGAATAACAGTGAAGACATCAAACCTATGAAATAATACATATGGAATCATGTAGTACCCCAAAAAAAGTGTTAAAATCAAAATATATTTTATATTTGAGATTCTTTAAATAGCCACCCTTTGCCTTGACAGCTTTGCACACTTTTGGCATTATCTCAACCAGCTTCATGAGGTAGTCACCAGGAATGCATTTCAATTAACAGGTGTGTCTCCTTAAAAGTTAATTTGTTGAATTTCTTTCCTTCTTGATGCGTTTGAGCCAATCAGTTGTGTTGTGACAAGGTAGGGGGGGTATACAGAAGATAGCCCTATTTGGTAAAATACCAAGTCCATATTATGGCAAGAACAGCTCAAATAAGCAAAGAGAAATTACAGTCCATCATTACTTTAAGAGATGAAGGTCAGTCAATACGGAACATTTCAATAACTTTTAAAGTTTCTTCAAGTGCAGTCGCAAAAACCATCAAGCGCTATGATGAAACTGGACCGCCACAGGAATGGAAGAACCAGAGTTTCCTCTGCTGCAGAGGATAAGTTCATTAGAGTTACCAGCCTCAGAAATTGCAGCCCAAATAAATGCTTCACAGAGTTCAAGTAACAGACATTAACATCAACTGCTCAGAAGAGACTGTGTGAATCAGACCTTCATGGTCGAATTGCTGCAAAGAAATCACTACTAAAGGACACCAATAAGAAGAAGAGGCTTGTTGGGGAAAGAAACACGAGCAATTGACATTAGACCGGTGGAAATGTGTCCTTTGGTCTGGAGTCCAAATTTGAGATTTTTGGTTCCAACTGCCATTGTCTATGTGAGAAGTGGTGTGTGTGAACGGATTATCTCAGCATGTGTATTTCCCACCATAAAGCATGGAGGAGGTGGTGTTATGGTGCTTTGCTGGTGACACTGTGTGATTTATTTAGAATTCAAGGCACAGTTAACCAGCATGGCTACCACCGCATTCTGCAGTGATACGCCATCCCATCTGGTTTGGGCTTAGTGGGACTATCATTTGTTTTTCAACAGGACAATGACCCAACACACCTCCAGGCTGTGTAAGGGCTATTTTACCAAGAAGGAGAGTGATGGAGTCCTGCATCAAATGACCGGTCCTCCACAATCCGCCGACCTCAACCCAATTGAGATGGTTTGGGATGAGTCGGACCGCAGAGTGAAGGAAAAGCAGCCAACAAGTGCTCAGCATATGTGGGAACTCCTTCAAGACTGTTGGAAAAGCATTCCAGGTGAAGCTGGTTGAGAGGATGCCAAGAGTGTGCAAAGCTGTCATCAAAGCAAAAGGTGGCTATTTGAAGAACCTCAAATATAACACTTTTTTGGTTACTATATGATTCCATATGTGTTATTTCATAGTTTTGATGTCTTCGCAACGTATTATTCTACAACGTAGAAAATAGTAAAAATAAAGAAAAATCCTTGAATTAATAGGTGTCCAAACTTGACAGGTACTGTATGTTTTCAAAATGCATACTGCCTCCAGCTCATTGCAAAGTGGTGTGACGCGCTGATGAAGCCTGCCTTCCGTTGCCTGTGCATTTGTTGTTAAGATGTTGTAGAAGCAGCTGTCGCACTGTCTGACAGATTTTCAGCTCAAAGGCTCTTTGTCTCTATGCTGTACGAGTGTGATAAATAAGATACAAATATACTGTACAGGTGCCCATTTAATTCCACTAAATTATGCAAATGAACCTATAGACCGATAAGCATGACCAGCCAAATGTATTTCAATCGACTATCATTTCCATCAATTAATAAAAAGCATTATTTCGCAATAGGAATTTTTATTTTTCTCCCGGACAGTTGGCCGGCACCAAATTTATTTAAATTGGGTTCTCAATTTTTTACCGGCTAATATATTAGGCTATTACCGTCTAACGGAAACCCTGGCCAGAAGTCAACTCAGCCAGAGATCTTTATCTGTACAGCTGACATTTTTACCCCGTGCTTCCCTTCTAGCGTTTTCCTTCTAGCGTTTTCCTTCTAGCGTTTTCCTTCTAGCGTTTTCCTTCTAGCGTTTTCCTTCTAGCGTCTCCTCCCCTATGATCTCATGCTGCTCTTCCTTCAGAAAAGCATGCGTCACAACTTTGTTAATTTGCAACATTTCTCATTAGCTTTTAAAAATGTCCACATTTACCGAAAACGACATTCGGTAGCTACTAGCTATGCTTGTAAAACTTAAATGAGCTGGATTTGCCCGTCTTTGCAAATAGTTATGTTCATTTTCTCTCATTAGCATTTAGCTAACAGTGTGTGATTTTGCTATTAGTTTGTGAAAATGTTGTTAGCATTCTGGTAATAGAGGCCCAATAGGCTTTTCTTAAATTTTTAGCACCCCATTGTGTGCTATGCCGGTAATACCGTAAATCCCAGGATGAGAGAAAATCTGGATACTGCCCAAACCTGGTGTGGATTACACGTGGGAACAATTGTGAACAAATTTCCTACATTAAAATCACTTGCCGCCAATTTCCGAGTTTTGCCAACCCTGCTGCAAATAATCTAACATGATGCAAATAATATGCTGTAAATAATCTAACGTCTTGTCTATGCGAAAGGAGTAGAAGACAAGTCGTTTCAGCCATTTTTTTTTAAACGTGTCTATTTGATGTCCTTACGCACTGTTATGTAACGCCATAAGTTAGTTACTTTGGTGCCATTTAAGTGGCCAGACCCTGTGTGAGGTAATACTAGGCAGCTAGTAACGTTAATCCTGAGCTATAGGTCTACAGTCAGGAATGGCATCCAGAGGCTAAATTTAAATCTCATCACCAGTTGCTTGATCACATGTCGCTTGGGTTCTCAGACGCAGCTGTCCAAATGATTACAAGTCCAAACACCCAAACCTGGAAGCAATGGTAGAGCAAAGTAGTAGCGCAAAAAGCTGTAGTAGCCACCAGAAGGTCTATGAATAGCATACCATTCAGAGGAATATGACAGGGTCCCTGTATGGAGAAGATATGCAGACTGGACACAACCAGGCATTAAAAGAGCGGTATATTACTACGTCAGACGATCTTCATCCAGTCATGTTAACCAGGCTTTACACTTAGGATGAGACTTGTGAATGGAAAATGTCTAGCTAGCTAGCGCCCCCTCCAACCGGACATTCCTTCAATCACTACTGTAAAATGTCAGTAGATGAATAAAGTTCACACACCACCTACTCATCACTAGCATAAGGGCAAACAAACATATCGTTTGGGCTGATGACAAACAATGTGCGTTTTCATCTTCATGTATTTTGTCCTACTAACAAGTGATTCCAGCTATTCTATTAATAACATTATTGGCAGTTATTTTAAACTGTAAAAGGTAATTATTTCATAATTCAAATCAGAAATATGGTGACAAATGGGTGGTTCCTGAAAGGTACAGATGCCTACAGTGATTGTGTGCTAAGAAACCAGGGGCGCTAGCGCAAAGTCAGAGTAGCTAAACATCAACCTTCCTACTTCAGAAAGCATTCTTAAACAAGAACAGGCTGGAGCCAGTTGGTGTGCTCTGGGCGGGGGAGGATGTGGGCAGGCATGGATACTCACACACACAGGAGCAGGGCGAAGCCAGCAATGTACTCATTCCTCTGGGCCCTGAACAGCTTCATGTGAATGTGATCTACGGCCACTGGGTTGTTGGTCAGGTCCACCTTCTCAGTCACACTGTACTTCCGTACCTCCCTGAACGCATCTACATAGAGACACAGACAAGAGCATGGGAAAACTATGGAAGACTAAGGTGGTGTGGGTTTGTCTCGGCCACTACACAATTTGTTATCGTCAGCACAATTAACAAAAAGTGATCAAAACCTGTGAACGAAGGTTGATATGTTTGGGTGTAGACAGTGGATGACACACACTTACCGATTAGTAAGAAGACTAAAATGGCAATGGCTACCATGAAGGAGGTGTTTCCATAATATGCAATAGTTTGAACCAGACGAGATTTGAAGATCTTACTCCATCTGAAAAGATACATTCATTAAGATGCCCAATGCAGCAGTTTTTTTTTTTTTTTTATCTCAATATCAAATCATTTGTGGGTAACAATTAAGTACCTTCCTGTGATTGTATTCAATTAAAATGGTAAAAAAGATTTTTTTTTAAATAGCTTCTTAGTAAAGATACATTTCTCAAGCAAGAATTTTGCTATGACTGTCTGTGAGTGGGGATGGGGAAACTGAAAACTAGCCGTTACTGGCAAAGAGGTTTGGAACTCTCTTATTGGTCTATTAACTAATTTACCGCCTGGGGATGTCAACAGGCAGGCCAAAACTCCATCCCACCACAACAGGCTGAAATTTCAGGCGGTTTTTTCAAATAGCTCTTACACTAAAAAAGGGCATTATAATTTTTACAGTATTATTCCAACCTCAGTATAGAAATATGAAAATCTATTTTTTTTTGACTGCACTGGGCCTTTAACATTTGAAAGTGAGACTGGGCAACTGCTGTATATCTTAAAGATATTATTTAACAGGTTATTGAATGACAAGAAATGCATTTAAACCTCAACTTTTTTTTTTTTTAATATCACTTGTGTAACCCAACCAAGTCTCATGGGAGGTAAGTCACATTTTGACTAAATAGTATTGGCTAATATGTGTTTAATGTTTGCAATTCCCACTTCGCAAGAAGACCTGCCAAGAGCGCAACTCATTAAGTGGGCATGAGATCAAATCTTTTTTAGCAATCGAGGAATTACAAGCCTTTTTTTTCTATGGCAAATTAGATACTGCACTATTGGAATTAGACTGTGTCCATGGAGACTTTGTTTTGACCAGTTGACTGCAGTGCAACTGGGTTGCTCACCTCTTGGGGGAGATGAAGGGCACACACAGAAGCAACACAAAGAAGACCTCAGCATAAAGGAACGTGGCCACCGCCGTCCACTGTAGACTCATGTTGATCAGATAAGAGTCTGTGAGAAAAAAATAATGTGATCGTTAAGCACATAAAACATAAAGTAACCCCCTTCATTAGTGTGCTTGTTGAAATCAAGAACACTACTGTTATCCGACATAATTCAAGGTTATCAGTGTGCTTGCTGAAAAATGTAAACACAAACAATTTAAAAACTTTTTCCCACTACCATAAACATACTTTTGGACAGTTGAACATGAGTCTAAAACATGTCATTGTATCCTTTAATTAATGCTGGCACAAAATGTTCACATCCCTTCATTTCAAGGAGATTGGAACAGAGACAGCAAGATAGACCTACAACTAGGAAAGCTGAGTGAATATAGTTGGTTCAGAGTTCGTTTTGATATTTCAACCTGCGTGTCCTGATCGCGTCTTGTGTGGGAGGACAAAATCAACTTGCGCGCAATGGCGGACGCAAGCGAGCGGTCTGGTCAGCATGTTAGTTAAAATGACGTTTATTTCAACATTCTGACTTGTAATGGGGCTGTTCGGGAATGCTGAGCCTACATGTTAGAGAGGAGAGTAAGTCTTCCACTCTCAGATTCTAAAAAGAGGCTACCCCCTCTATGCCTTGCTGTCCATGGACTACTTTAAACATAATGGGACTAAGGAAAGTGATCAAAGAACTACTGGAATTACCCATTCCTTCCCAGAGGGTGGACCTGATTGGAAAATCAATGTGGAAAATTAGATCAATTAGGATTAGATCTTCTCAGTGGGGTCCCAGTGCCATCTAGTGACGATACAACCAGAAAGACACTCACTCACTCCACTGTGTTTTGGGTGGGTGTGTCCCAGGTTGAGCAAGAATGATAGAGCAACAGCTCCATCTTTAGCTGTCCAAGGGGAACACGACAGCCTTCTCAAATTATATGAGTTCAATAACACTATACCACAGATAGAACAATGAGACAGATATTTCACAGGATGTATAAATGTGAAGCATCCACTTGGCGTTTCCAATCACTACCACACACTACACATTCTGCAAATGTTCTCATCAAAACATTTGAAGTCAATACAGTTCTGTTCCCAAAACTCAAATATGTTACGAACTTAGTAGACTACGTTTTGTAGACTTTACTCGTTGCCAAAGTTTTAAAAAATTGCATTTAAGGAGTGCAAGGGCGAATTTAGTTATTGCACACGCGCACTTCAGAGTAGGCGTTCCCTAACGGAAATATGCAAATACATGCGAGAACGCGCCAATAGGATTTAGCTAGCTCTGCCCCCTCCTTGCTTGTTCCCACTATGACTCATTTGTTCCCATTGGAAATGACAGGCTGTGGTCCATCTTGGGTTAGTTATAACAAATTTTGACTATACTGGTAATACTTGCAATAAGCAGAAATCGCGCCGCTATTTCCTGGTTGCAAAAAATGGTCGTTCGCCTGATTTCAGTTTATGAATCATTGTACCTTTAACCCGCTGTGCAATATATTTTCGATAACCAAAAATATCTTATATCTTGACAATCATTGCACAAAACCGAAAGTAAAAGACAAAAACTAAACATATGAATGGGAAGCATAGAATTAGTGCACATACAGATCTACCGCTTCTTAGTCTTGCTTTCAATGAGAATTACAGATATTTAAGTATCATACACAAAAAAAAAAAAATGTATGCACAAATGACTAAGTCGCTTTGGATAAAAGCGTCTGCTAAATGGCATATTATTATTATTATCTGTGTGAATTTGATCGGGTCGTCCAGAAAGTTAGATTTTGTAGCTTTAAGAAACCTGTCAAGGTGGCTTACAAACATATTCTCTGTCATCAATGTTAGTTAGTTATACAAATTGGTCAAAGCTGCTAACTAACAAATAAGGTAGCTACAGGGCTCTACAGTGCTACCATTTCTCAGATATGGGCCTAAATAGTTTCCTGTGCGACCTGGAATTTTAATTTTGGAGCACAAGTGCGCCTAGGACACTTAAGGATTATTGCTTTATTACCTCAAATACTTTTCATTGTGCTTATACATTTGGGTGTGCCTACATTTGAACTAAGGCCTTGTAAAAAAAGGTCGCTAACAAGCCAACTGTTTTTATCTGGCTGGATATTACGTATAAATTACTAGTAACGTTAGCTGGATGGCTAGCTAGAAGTTTGTCCAAAGACCATACATTGCCAACACGAAATAATGACGTAGCTAGCTAAATATGCTAGTTAACTAGCATACTAGCTGGATTTCGCGCAATTGTTGTGACAAAGTTAACTGCTAATGTTCAGCACAGGCCTACTAAAACTCACTTCATGCAACGGGGTTTGCAGTACTCACCTAAAATACTTCAATTATTGGGTGCACGGAGACTGGTCTTCCTAGAGGGCTCTCGACCGCTGAGGTATTTAAATAAAAAATACCCGACGCGTAGTTTGCTTGAGCGCTAGCTAGGAACAATGCTTTCTTGAAGACTTCCTAGCTAGTTACTTCCTACTTCCGGTGCCAGCTCATCATGAGACGGGGGTAAAGGTTAAATTGCCCCATACTGCAGTGTAGTTGAGTCAGATATACAGTCCAGACACTGAAATAGATCATCTTTGTCTAAGGTCAGTTCAAGCACAAGACTTCACATCTGCTAGGTGAAAGAGGCACAGATCAAAAGTCCATGAAATGAGATTGGGCAATCTAATCTATTTTAGAAGGTTTCCACAGCCACAAAGTCAAAATGGGCTATATCGTAAAAGTTCATGAAAACAAAATAGCTTTTTGGTCTTAATTTAAGGTTAGGGTTAGCAGTGTGGTTAAGGTTGGTTTAAAATCACATTTTATGAAGATAAATTGTAGAAATGTGCGGGGTTTATGACTTTGTGGCTGTGGTAACTAGTGACGACCATTTTAGAGGCCTTTATCCTTCCATAACATGCTACTGGGCCTTCTTGTCAACTAAAATGGTCTGGTCACTAAATAAATATATGGGTGTGGGTTTTTAAACTCATGAATTACATATCATTAAAGAAAAAACGAAAGGCAAATAAAATATTTTGACATCTAAGCATGTTTATCTGAGAGAGCATGAACCAACACTGACAATTTTGTAAAATAATTCAGTTTGCATGACATAACACTAGGAAATGTATTTAATTCCATACATAGGTATTAGGCAATAATTACAAACACACGTCTCCAAAATCATGTTATTGTCATGCACACATGACTACTACCTCTGAGGGTTTAGAGCTTGAGGTAGTCACCTCATACAAGTACTTGGGAGTATGGCTAGACGGTACACTGTCCTTCTCTCAGCACATATCAAAGCTGCAGGCTCAGGTTAAATCTAGACTTGGTTTCCTCTATCGTAATCGCTCCTCTTTCACCCCAGCTGCCAAACTAACTGATTCAAATGACCATCCTACCCATGCTAGATTACGGAGACGTAATTTATAGATCGGCAGGTAAGGGTGCTCTCGAGCGGCTAGATGTTCTTTACCATTCAGCCATCAGATTTGCCACCAATGCTCCTTATAGGACACACCACTGCACTCCATACTCCTCTGTAAACTGGTAATCTCTGTATACCCGTCGTAAGACCCACTGGTTGATACTTATTTATAAAACCCTCTTAGGCCTCACTCCCCCCTATCTGAGATACCTACTGCAGCCCTCATCCTCCACATACAACACCCATCCTGCCAGTCACATTTTGTTAAAGGTCCCCAAAGCACACACATCCCTGGGTCGCTCCTCTTTTCAGTTATCTGCAGCTAGCGACTGGAACGAGCTGCAAAAAACACTCAAACTGGACAGTTTTATCTCAATCTCTACATTCAAAGACTCAATCATTGACACTCTTACTGACAGTTGTGGCTGCTTCGTGTGATGTATTGTTGTCTCTACCTTCTTGCCTTTGTGCTGTTGTCTGTGCCTAATAATGTTTGTACCATGTTTTGTGCTGCTACCATGTTGTGCTGCTGCCATGTTGTGTTGCTACTATGTTATTGTCATGTGGTGTTGCTACCATGCTGTGTTGTCATGTGTTGCTACTATGCTGTGTTGTCATGTGTTGCTGCCATGTTTTGTTGTTGTCTTAGGTCTCTCTTTATGTAGTGTTGTGGTGTTTCTCTGGTCGTGATGTGTGTTTTGTCCTATATTTTTATTTTTTATTCCAGCCCCGTCCCCATAAGAGGCCTTTTGCCTTTTGGTAGGCCGTCATTGTAAATAAGAATTTGTTCTTAACTGACTTGCCTAGTTAAATAAAGGCTAAATAAATAAAAATAAAAACATTCAAAGCTGACAGATTAAAATATTGTTCAGTAGATGGCGCCAAATGATCATGGACTGTCTTCAACCCAAATAAAAATCAACACATTTACAGTCATTTAGCAGATGCTCTTATCCAGAGCGACTTACAGGAGCAATTAGGGTTAAGTGCCTTGCTTAAGGGCACATCGACAGATTTTTCACATAATCAGCTACAGATTCGAACCATCGACCTTTCGGTTACTGACCCAACCATCTTAACCGCTAGACTACCTGCTGCACCTACTTTCAACACATTTTCAATTTTGCTTAGCTGGGTGTTGAACAAACATATACATTGGTTAGTGTTTCAATGCATCATACACACACATGCATCATACAATTAATAATTAAACACTATTCAACAATCTTATGGGGATTAAATAATGCTTGTTATAAATGGGTAGATATGGAGCAGAAAATGGAATATAAAATGTTTCACTAGAAATCATGTTAATGTTATATAGATAAATAGTAAGGCAACCGTGTAAGGAAATCGTTTCTACAAAGGCAGTTTCAACCCCTGATCTGTTACATGTAAACCAAGCATGATTATAAGATCATGTAATTCTCTTCGCAACCGAGGCAAACATCTCCAACACATCTGCTAGTATAGGAATTTCAATTCAATTAATAGAAGGCATTTGTTATAATTTTCCTTTGAACATCACTTTGGCATGAGATGCAGGCACGGTACGCTTTCAGACGTCAAGCACTTTCTTAGCATCCTTTTTCCTTTTCAGAGGCCCTAGGAACAGAGAGAAAACGGAACACAAAGCACCAGTCAGATATTGTTTCCAAGAAGAAGATATATTTGTTCTGTCCTAAGCAAATACTATAACAACCTTATAAAAAAATTACATGTTATTGTCTCACATGAACTAATGTGAAAATAGATATTTCTCCCTAGGGAAGCTAACAGCTCAGAAAATAGGGTAGCTAAAAGCTCAATAAACACTGAATATATATATATATATATATATATATATATATATATATATATATATACACACACACACACATGACATAACCATGGTAGAACTGAGACACTGGTGTGGGGGAGGTTAAGATAGGGCAAGCCAAGGCACAGCTGGTCGATCAAACGATCAAATAAACAGTGAAATATAAGTCAAAAACTGGTAAAAGCAGTGTATTGTATCACTTCCGACAAAAACGTTTATGCTGAATTTTCCCCCCTAATATTCACTTCAGTCTCTCACTACCAGTTTAGCATGCATAAATTGTAGGCAAGCTGATGTTACTGATTTGACTGGGATAGTTGTCTTTTAAAGATGATGGATAATAGCATCTCTCAACATCTATATCACTACAGGCGATCATTTGTCATTGGAAAAAGATGCAGGGATACGAACGGCCTTATATGACTTAAAGGGATGCAATAGTGCACTGGATCAGGGTGACAACACATTACTACTGGTGGTGCTCTGCACCAAGTGGAATATTACAGTGTTAACATTTTGTTATTATAATGTTAACTTTACTTATAAGGGGCACAGGATTTTGTACTTACATTTCAATTATACTGAACAAAAATATAAAAGCAACATATAAAGTGTTGGTCCCATGTTTCATGAGCTGAAATAAAAGATCCCAGAAATGTTCAATATGCACAAAAAGCTTATTTCTCTAAAATGTTGTGCACAAATTTGTTTACATCCCTCTTAGTGAGCATTTCTCCTTTGCCAAGATAATCCATCCATCTGACAGGTGTGGCATATCAATATGATCATTACACAGGTGAACCTTGTGCAGTTTTGTCACACAACACAATGCCACAGATGTCTTAAGTTTTGAGGTAACGTGCAATTGGCATGCTGACTGCAGGAATGTCCACCAGAGCTGTTGCCAGAGAATTGAATATTAATTTCTCTACCATAAGCCACCTCCAACATCGTTTTAGAGAATTTGGCTACGTCCAACCGGCCTCACAACCGCAGACCACGTGTAACCACGCCAGCCCAGGACCTCCACATCCTGCTTCTTCACCTGCAGGATCGTCTGAGACCAGCCACCCGGACAGCTGATGAAACTGAGGAGTACTTCTTTATGTAATAAAGCCCTTTTGTGGGGAAAAACTCATTCTGATTGGCTGGGCCTCGCTCCCCAGTGGGTGGGCTTATGCCCTCCCAGGTCCACCCATAGCTGTGCCCCTGCCCAGTCAGGTGAAATCCATAGATTAGGGCCTAATTTATTTATTTCAATTGACTAATTTCCTTAAATGAACTGTAACTCAGTAAAATCGTTGAAATTGTTGCATGTTGCGTTTATATTTTTGTTCGGTATACATGAATTAAGACAAAATCCACAAGAGGGATGGATACCAGCTCCCATTTGATCAAAGTTTTACTAAAATAATTATGTACACATTGCAAACTAACCATGATAGCTATCTTTTTCTTCATAAGTTCATTTCATATCACACAGATATAAATGCATCCAACGCTGAACAGTGATATGGGACAATAAGATAAAAAAGTGGAGGACACTGATACAGATTCAACATTGAAGGCAATGAACACAGACAAATCCATCCCATATTGAACAGCTGCTAATAGTCTTTCTGAGGAAGAACCCAACGATAACCATCATACTGAGACCAGATACTATTTCTCAGGTAACCTAAATAGGTAACACGTAAGTGTCCAATAATTATTCCAGCATATGGTGGTCATGTCAGTTCTCATAGAGGCTAAAAGGCATAGGGATACTGTAGTAAAATGTTGATGACTAAATAAAAGTATGCTTTTGTTTGAGAGTGCACAGAAATTGCTAAGTCATGAACATAGACAAATACAAAAATACAAAATATATATGTATATAATAGATATAACTAATGGGAAAGTTCATTTTCCATTTTAGATTCTGAAAAATAACCACAGACAAATTGTGAGAATTATCACCTCCCTTAGGAATCCCATTTGTACAGCGTTTTCAAACTGCCTTTAATAAGCGTATCAATTCATTTGTTTAATGCCAATGATACTAACCCAGACTTTTAAGATAGAATACCATATACAGGCCTACTTATTTATGCATTGAATTTTTTTAAATAAATGGCCTCTAGGTCAAAAGATTATGAGCAGCTGTATCTGAATGTGTAACCCACTCCAACACCACCAGCCCAAAAGTAAACAAAATCAAAATAAATCAATTCATGACTAAAAGGATTTTAGATGCCTAAGGATACAGTATATTGTCCTTGTCAGCTTGATGATTTTATATAAGCCATTCTTGCAAAAAGTATGTTCAATATTCTCTGGTAACATTGGGATTTAACTTTGATTTAAAGAGAAAAGCTCCTCCATTTAATATGATAATAAAGCAGACTTGAGTGTAAAAAACAAACAAAAAACCCCCCACAACTAATGGCTTTACCATTTGATACTTGTCCAGTTTACTCTGTGTGTGTTTCGTGCTCAGGGACAAATATTTTCCACTTTGACAAAAAACATTAAAACATTCCATCAACTCCAGTAGATATCTTTTCAAAAAAAGACATATTAGAGAGAACAGTTTTGGTGTATAAATATGCACAACATGTCCACAGCATGAGCATATTTCCACAAACCCGTCACAATTATTTGAAGCAAAAAAAAAGGAAATTATAATTTGATATTATTTATACATTTTAAACTTTTGTCAACAAATTATATAATTACTGTACAAACGAAAGAGAAAAGGCACAGCATGACCATTTGTTAGCTCAGGTGGGCCCAAGCTAGCCCACCCTAAACTAGCCTCCTTTTAGGTGCCGTTAGGATGGGATTCGATTAGTTAGGTCTACTTCAGAAATTAAAGTACACCTGAGGAGCTCAAAGGAGAGCAGGCAGAAATAAATGGACAACAATCTCTGCAGCACTCCACCAATCAGGCCTTCATGGTAGAGTGGCCAGACTCTCTGTCTAAAGAGTTGTATCCTAGATGACTGCGGTATCCAAGTAACTAGGTTTCTTGAAGACCATAACCTCAATTTAAAAAACAACACAAAAGTTGCAGCTGTATTTTTAGTCCTCTGGCAAGTCATTTGGATAAGTGGTAAGGCTTTCTTTTGATTAAAAATACATTGTTTAAGGCAAAGAGGGGTCTGTAGAGAACTAAGGATTGAAAGCAATGATATTCCCAGAGGCATGATTAACATGTACAGAATATCACCAGTTTTCATACTTCACCCTCTTGTGCTTTCAAAAAGTATTAAAACTTAGTAGACTACTGCACGAAAAGGGGGTTAAAATCTCTGGCTACCCATTCCATTATAGGCAGAATAAACTGATGGGTAGTCTGAGGAAAAACAACCTAGGGCTATCTACAGAACTAAAACACAGAGATGCCGTACCCTTCCTTTTGTATCAAAAATCTATTGATATGAAGTTCCCAAATGAAATATAAGTAGCAGAAAGACAAAGATGGAAGTCAAAGTTTGTTTTAGTCCAAAGGGAAAAATAATGAGATTTTAAAGGAAGAAGAGAGTGACAGACAGGATTGCAGATTGCTCATTTCACCAGGACTGACTTTGGGAGGAAAGCGTCCATCTCCGAGTCTCCAGCGCCGTCGGCCAGACTGTGGCTGGAAGAAGAGAGGGTAACAGTAGAGGGGGGGGGAGCAGCTGCTTTGGGCAGACTATACATATAGACGGCTCCAATGACCAGACCAGCACCCAGCGTGAAGAGGAGGTCCACGTGGAACCCAAAGAGGTAGACAGAGACTACAGTGGAGACAATGATGGAAAAGGAAGTGGCGAACCCCTTCAGGATGTTGTCTGCATACTTCACTACCACCGCCACCAGTAAGCCCCCAAAAGCCTGGTTGAAGATGACACCCCACACCATGGGTGTGTACCCAAACAGGAAGCCCTTCTCTGCAATGGCAAGGCCATCGTTCCACCACATCCCCAACAGGCCTAGTACAGTTCCAAATATGCCCAGCTGGATGTTCCTCATCCACACAGAGGCTGAGCTGCCCTTAAGGATTTTCTCAAAGTACACTCCAGCAAAGCCAGAGGAGAGGCAGGACACTATCACTGCCACCAGTCCTTTGGCATAGTTCTGGCTCTGTCCAGTGACTGTAGTCTCCTTCTGTTTTCCTTCCTGCTCCAGTTGTACGATAGCAACCCCAGCGAACAGCAGGAGCAGGGACAGCCACTGAATCCGTGAAAGGCTCTTCCGCAGCATCAGCACAGAGAAAAGGGCTGTGGTCAGAATTTTCAGCTGGTAGGTCACCTGGAGAAATAACCACAACATTCATTAAACCAAACAGCATTTACCAACATACTACATTTTGCATATTGCAGACCAAAATCATAAAAATTGATTACAGGAGGATATGGGAAACAAAACAAAACAAATGCATGCTAGGCTATTGTGGGGCACTCAAGGGGTTTATGCTTGGGGTAAAGTGATTTGCTATGAGATATCATAAACAAGGATGTGACGCAAGAAGAAACACCATCCCATTACTGGGCAGCCAGAGCAACTAACCTGGAAAGTAGCTGCTGGTAAATTGGAGATAGCCACATACTGGAGGTTGTTCTGCAAGGTATAGATGAGTGCTGGGACAGCCAGTTTAAGCGTGTCCTTGTACTGGATGACAATGGAGTCGTACTGCAATACAATAAACTCCTTTAGGTTTCCTGGGAGAGGGAGAGAGCGGGTTGATTGTGAAACACAGGTGAAAATGCAGACGACCACTTTTGCAGGTAAGGTCATGTGTATTGACGCAACACAAATTAGCCAAGTACTGAACCTGAAAAACAATGCCAAAATGTTTCTGCAGTAAACACATTGTAATGGGAATATTCAGTTAAGAGTAATTAACACAATGCTTCCAGTGCTGTATTTGTGACTCGTTTGTGTACTGGTTGATGGTCAGTAGTAGAATTGTTACTGAATGTTCTGGATTGTTATCATGTCATTTGATAGTGATTGACATCAAAGCTACTAAAAAGGTACAAGGACCCAGGACACACTGATTATTACTGTATTGATGACATTATGAACACTGTGATTCTGTAGCAGCTGGCAAAGTCACTGTATTTTGTTATGACTTCGTACCAGACTCTCCGCCTGATGTTTGCAGAACATTGGGTATGGTCTGATTAGAATATTAAGGGCCTGTCTCCAATACATTTTCTTTGTTTCTGCTCTGGGAGGTGTTCTCCCTGAATTCTTGTAATACATTTCTGATTGATATCATCAACGACTGCATTCCTTTTTGTTCAACCGAAAATCCCCTTTACACACATTAACCCATAAGGGGGGGTTCTACTAAGCTATAAGGAATTATTTAATGAAGGTCAAACCAAGGATCATTCTGCTATTTGATTTAGAATTTTAGTATTAAAAAATACAAGTTGGCCTTACTGTGGGCGTCCTAGAGCAAACCGACATGTACAGTGTATACGGAAAGTATTCAGACCCCTTGACTTTTTTCCACAGTTACGTTACAGCCTTGTTATAAAATGGATAAAATAGTTTTTTCCCCCCTCATCAATCTACACACAATACCACATAATGACAAAGCTAAAAGTTCATTTTTTTTGCAAATATATTAAAAATAAAAAACGGAAATATTACATTTACATAAGTATTCAGACCCTTTACTCAGTACTTTGTTGACGCACCTTTGGCAGTGATTACAGACTCAATTCTTCTTGGGTATGACACTACAAGCTTGGCACACCTGTATTTGGGGAGTTTCTCCCATTCTTCTCTGCAGATCCTCTCAAGCCCTGTCAGGTTGGATGGGGAGCATCACTGCACAGCTATTTTCAGGTCTCTCCAGAGATGTTCGATCGGGTTCAAGTCCGGGCTCTGGCTGGGCCACTCAAGGACATACAGAGACTTGTCCCAAAGCCACTCCTGCATTGTCTTGGCTGTGTGCTTTGGGTCATTGTCCTGTTGGAAGGGGAACCTTCGCCCCAGTCTGAGGTGCTCCGTTCATCTTTCCCTCAATCCTGACTAGTCTCCCAGTACCTGCCACAAAAAAAAAAAAATTAAACAGCATGATGCTACCACCCCCATGCTTCACCGTAGGGATGGTGCCAGGTTTCCTCCAGACGTGACACTTGGCATTCAGGCCAAAGAGTTCAATCTTGGTTTCATCAGACCAGATAATCTTGTTTCTCGTGGTCAGTGTTCTTTAGGTGCCTTTTGGCAAACTCAAAACGGGCTGTCATGTGCCTTTTACTGAGGAGTGGTTTCCGTCTGACCACTCTACCATAAAGGCCTGATTGGTGGAGTGCTGCAGAGATGGTTGTCCTTCTGTAAGGTTCTCCCATCTCCACAGAGGAACTCTGGAGCTCTGTCAGAGTGACCATCGGCTTCTTGGTCACCTCCCTGACCAAGGCCCTTCTCCCCAGAATGCTCAGTTTGGCCGGGCGGCCAGCTCTAGGAAGTCTTGGTGGTTCCAAACTTCTTTCATTTAAGAATGATGGAGGCCACTGTGTTCTTGGGGACCTTCAATGCTGCAGAAATGTTTTGGTACCCTTCCCCAGATCTGTGCCTCGACAAAATCCTGTCTCGGAGCTCTACGGACAATTCCTTCGACCTCATGGCGTGGTTTTTGCTCTGACATGCACTGTCAACTGTGGGACCTTATATAGACAGGTGTGTGCCTTTCCAAATCATGTCCAATCAATTTAATTTATCACAGGTGGACTCCAATCAAGTTGTAAAAACATCTCAAGGATGATACATGGAAACAGGATGCACATTAGCTCAATTTTGAGTCTCATAGCAAAGGGTCTGAATACTTATGTAAATAAGGTATCTGTTCTTTATTTTTAATACATTTGCAAAACATTTAAAAAAATCAATTTTAGAATAAGGCTGTAACATAACAAAATGTGGAAAAAGGGAAGGGGTCTGAATACTTTCCGAATACACTGTAGGTGTTCGTGAGGAGTCTCACCTTTCCCCAGAGGGGTCATATTAGTTTGTAGCCCAAACTGTTCGGACGCTTCAGAAAGAAGTTGGCAGATCAGCTGTACCGACTTCAGACAAGTCCCAAAATGCTTGTTGGGGTCGTAGAGCAAAACGGAGACCACCCTGGTGTTCGTAAGAGGCTCATCGTTTCCTAATAGTTTGTAGGCCAAACTGTTCGGACGCTACAGACTATTTTGTGAGAAGACCGATTTTCGGGATGTCTCATGGTCTGACAAACACCGCTCCAGCTCTGTCACCGCAGATGCGGAACTGCGACACAGGTGGATGCAGGGGATTGAGATGCATACAATGCAAAAAAAAAAAAAAAGATATCTCTAGCTGAAACTGACAGATTTTTATTGGGATTTTGTATTATGCTAATTACATTTCCGTGGGGGAGCAGACATCGACCTTAGTTTTTTTTAAATATTCAATAATGGAGGCTTACCTTTTCTCTGGACCAAAATTATAAAAAGGCAGGTAAGTACTTTGAGCACCTCTGCCATAACCACTGCAGAGGTGGTGAAGAAACGATCACCAGGCAGCGTGCGGACATAGCGGATGCTGAGGATAAGAGAGGCGTTCTGGACAACAAGGATGGCCAAACTGATGTATTTCAGCTTTCTGTTCACTGTAGTAAAAAGACAACATCAGATGACATCATTAGCCCTACTTTGCATGCATTGCTGAAAATCCAAGCCAGTTGAACCAGATGAAAATCTATTCTCACAAGACATAGGCATATCATAGCTTTGGGACAATTTCGGGAGTCTGTATTGGTTGGACTCCCTGAGTTGTGCGTCGTTCTGGTGGGTGGCGACAGAAAATAACCATACCACAACATAACCGGCGTCACCCAAAAAAAAAAGGTTCCTTTCAACAAAACCATATGTATAATCTCTAGGAACTCTACTTACCAGACGTAAAGTGAAACGTGTCCCTCGCTATCAAATAAACATCTGAATCCAACTTCTGTCCAAACCGCACCATATTCCTGCTGTGTATACAGTGGTGGATTTTGTGGTAGGAAGTCTCGCGTGAAATGCGTGGTCCAATGGCAGCCCGCTGTCTAACTCCGCAGGAATATGGTGCGGTTAGCACAAAAATTGGATTCTGACGTTTATTTGATAGCGAGGGACACATTTCACTTTACGTCTGGTAAGTAGAGTTCCTAGAAATTAAAATAAAATCTATGTTTATGTCACATGCGCGTAATACAACAGGTGTAGACCATACAGTGAAATGCTTACTTACAAGCCCTTAACCAACAATGCAGTTTTAAGAAAGAATACCCCCCCCAAAAAACACACACAAAAAATACAATATAAAATAATACGAAATAAAGTAACAAATAATTAAAGAGCAGCAGTAAAAATAACAATAGCGAGGCTATATACAGGGGTACCAGTACCGAATCAATGTGCGGGGGCACCGGTTAGTCGAGGTAATTGGGGTAATCTGTACATGTAGGAAGAGTTATTAAAGTGACTATACATAAAAGAGGGGGGGGGGGGGGGGGGGGGGCAATGCAAATAGTCTGGGTAGCCATTTGATTAGATGTTCAGGAGTCTTATGGCTTGGGGGTAGAAGCTGTTTAGAAGCCTCTTGGACCTAGATTATACAAGCAAGTATTGGGGATTTATTATTCTCCTAAATTGATGGGATGACTAACTTAGAAAGAATGCAGTCTTGACTGGGCTAATGTAGGCTGTGACACCTGGCAAGGCTGTGATTGATGTGAAGAGCTGTTTTAGGGGGTAAAAATAAGATAAGGATTGTGTCTTCAAATGCTAGACTATAATAGTTATTTGTGATCTGTGAGCCTTCCTTTGACGTAGGAATGATGTCTAAGGGAGCTGGCTCTTCTCACTATGATAGGTTGTTATGATAATCTTGTGCCTGGCTGAAGTGTGCAACAAATGGCGCCGAGGAGATGAGACCAACCCCTGAACCAACGGATTGGCTGAGAAAGTTTCAACCACGCTCAAGCCTCTACTCTAATTGGCCAGCAGAGAAGTGGGAAATTCCCTCTGTCAGAGTATTTGGGTATTGTTTCTAAAACAATGTGTTAGTTCTCTGGAGTGTCCTGCGAGACATCTCAGAGAGCCCGTATATACGAAACATCATATTTACCATTGAAGGTTTTTGCATTAATTAAAATAACTAGTATATCTTAGAAGTCGTGTTGACCTCTTTTGTTCCTAATACCAGATTTGAATTGACGCAATTTCTAACACAAGTCTAAGAAGCAGTAGATCTGTTGTAAATTCGCTATGCTTCCTGTGCTTAAGTTTCGTTTTTGCATCTTTTACTTTCGGTTTTGTACACCAGCTTCAAAACAGCAGAAAATACAATATTTTTGGTGATTGAAAAGATATTTGACAGTTGTTTAGATGGTACAATTACTCACTACACTATGCATTGCTTGTTTTGTCATAAACGGAAATTATGCGAACTATTGTAATTTTAGCAACCAAGAAATGGCGGCGCATTTCTGCATGTTGCACCAGAGAGGAATTGCATTATTTTCCAGAGAATGCATAGCCCCGAGTTGATTAACCCTTTTTTATACAACGGGTGGTTCTAATCCTGAACGCTGGTTGGTTAAAACCGCATTCCAGCCGGTTTCTATTCGACAAGTTACCACAGGCTAAATCTATGACGTTAAAATGCCTATTTACTCTGTTGCATCTGACTGCGCAATCCACTGTCTTATCAGCCCAGCCAGGCAATTTACAAACTTGATCTCCACTATAAAAAGCATCTAGACATTATCTCACATTTCTTTTAGACTAACATTTAGTTTTCAACAGCGTAGATTTGTATAAACCTTGCTGTCTGTCACTCCGACATTTGCAACATTGTTTCAATATTGAAATTCGATCTCCAGCTGTCCCATGGTAATGAACGTGTCGGGGTCGGGACGATACAGACAGGCAGAGTTTCTCAGCCAGTCGAAATCATGAATCAGCTGGCATCATTTTTATGGATATATACAAATAAATACAAAGAAAAAAGGTAAAAAACGAAACAAAGTGCAGCTAGTTTGCAGTCTTTCCAGCTTCAGTTTGAAGTGATTGTGTTAGCTGTGTTGTTGGCTAGTTCCTCTGAACAACAGTGTCCTGACGAGAGAGCACATTTTCTATGCCAGGCGAAATCACGCCTCATTAGCTCATTGTTATGGATGTCACTAGAAAATAGCTTATACAAATGCAAATGCCGCTACTGTTGTTATTATGTCTGCACTGTTGGACGTGACTGTACGTTAGCGGTAGTTGGCTAGCTAGCAAGCAAGGGATAAGAACGTTGCCAGCCAGTATGGCTACGACTGGGTCGTGTCCTTAGATACAGAACAAAAAGACTGAACAACTGGGTCACGTCTCTGGCAACCGAACCGATAGAACGAACGACCAGCCGGCTTGGGTAGCAACCCTAGGTTTGTTGTCGGGACTATATCTTGTGGAAGGATGAAATAGTATGAATAAATTAATCAAAATAAAGTTTAATGAAAATATGTCAATCATTATTTGAATATGTTGTATAAAAGTGATAATGCCCTCGTAGCCGGTATTTGGAGGATATATTGGCACAGTTTGCCATCTCAGGCCTAACAACACCTGTGCCAATATATCCTCCAAACACCGGCTTCTCTGGCATTATCACTTAAATACCATGGCTATAATTGAACATATTTGCCACTAGAAATGTGTTCAACATCAACTGAAGTAGCTAACTAGCATGTTTACTAGATAACTACAGTTGTTGCCTTGGTAACCAAACAAACAGACTTGCTAGTTTAGCTAACCAAAACATCAGTCCTACCTTGCCATTATGAAAATCGAATTCAACAATGCCAATAATGTTTTCAATTCGACTTTTGCTTCCAAAAGCAGCTCAAACAGAACATGTAAGAATAAACTACTGTGCTGATATACCATGCATTATTCAAGCAATAAGGCCCGAGGGGGTGTGGTATATGGCCAATATACTACAGCTAAGGGCTGTTCTTAGGCACAACAACGCAGTGGGCCTGGATACAGCCATTAGCTGTGGTATATTGGCCATATACACAAACCCCCAAGGTGGCTTATTGCTATTATAAACTGGTTACCAATGTAATTAAAACAGTACAAATGTTTTTGGGGTTATACCCATGGTATACGGTCTGATATACCACGGCTTTCAACCAATCACCATTCAGGGCTTGAACCACCTAGTTTATAAAGGGAAATAATGCACGCGCTAGAATGCCCTTCAAGCCAATCAGAAACGAGTATTCAACAACGGGGTATAAAGAGAGTTGACGTTAACAACCCTCATCGAATATTTAAAAAAGGATTACAATAATGAGATGTATCCACCAATCCAAAGGATAGACAGGAGCTCGACAGCCCGCCATGCCGCTTTGTGGACAAGGACTCCAGTTTTTTGGGCGGAGAGACATGTATCTTGTCAATATATCTATAATCTTTGGTTGCACCTTTAATTGACTTCTCTTTTCACCGTTTCCTGCTAGTTGTCTGACTTGGTTGGTTGGTTCATAATTGTTACATTACAGCGCAGTTAATTCAAACAGGTGTGAGTAGTTTCTGACCCCACCCTCACCTGGCTGTAATGAAAGAGAAAAAAGTTCCACATCACCAAAATTACAACACACACAGGCTCAATTGATGAGAGGGGCTATAGCTAACGTTTTGAATGCAACTTTCAGAGCCACACATATACACATAAATAACCTCTGCCTGGATACTTTATTAATGAAATAGGTCGCTATTTTAAAATAGCTAGTTACGAGCCATCGGATACACTGACTGACACTCTGCTGTAGCTGTATAGTTAACTAGCTCGCTAGATGAGTTAACATGGCTAGCTAGCCAACTTAGCTAGCAAATCAACACAGTGCAGTCAGCTAAACATCATGCTAGCTAGCAGCTGAACAAAACATAGTTTTACCTTCACTCTGTCTAGGAGAAGCCGTCTTCTGCTCTCCGACTCCTGTCCCTTGGCCGTTGTTGTTGCCCACTGCCATGTTGGCATTGACGTTATGTGAACTGGAATGAGATGTCACCTAGACAGCGAGCTAGCGAATTCCTTGCCTTTGCTTTCACCTAACGTTAGCTAATTTAGCACTGGTAGCTAGCTTGTACCCAATTGCTGTTGCAGCCCCTTTCACACATCAACTGACGAGTGCTACGATTCCCCACCCCACTAGCTGAGCCATTCCACGTTACGATTAAAACACTAATGTGTTGTTTTTACTTCACAATCATTTCCTTGTTCGCTGGCACATTCACAAAACCCCCAGAGCTTCCAGAACAGATGGTCCTATTGGTGAATCCCAGAGCTTCCAGTACAGATGGTCCTATTGGTTGTTGGGGTGAGGGACCGCCTCTCCATCGTTCGGTGGTATTGATAGGACCAATGGAATGGTCTAAAATGCGCAAACCCCGTCCAACCCGGGCACCCGGCGATGCAAACATAACGAACTCGCCAATTAACCGCCATTACTGTCCTCATCTTCTGCAGACCAGAAACACGACTACAGTCTTTCAACATTAGCCAAAAATGATTACGCCAGACTCAAATTATAGGCTACTGCAGCATTGCACTAGGCCTGTGAAAGAAATGATCAGCTAATGGTCAGCCTATCTTTGATGAGAGAAATCAAGTTTGATATGATGAGTAGGTTTGTTCATTGCACAATCGGGACAGACTGTGGAATCTTAAAGTTGATCCTCTTATGGACCCATACCAATTTAGATGGTCCTCAAGCTTCTTAAATATCCCAAAAGTGTCAACCAACAGTCACAAAACTGCCTGTCACACACTGATGAAGTACTGGTGCTTGCACACAGGGTGAGGTACTAACCCATTCTGCCCTGTGGTTGCCTTGCCCCTTACAAAAAAAGATTGCAGTCAGAGTGCAGTATAACTGCAGCATGATCCCACCGTTTTTTTTACTGCAGTAGTTTTGCAGTATAACTGCAGTTCAACTGCAGTTATTCTGCAATTACTGTGTCCAAAACACCACAGCCAACTGCCGTTACTGCACTTTTACTGCAGTTTCAAAACTGCAATATGTTTTTGTAAGGGGAACCCCATTGCCTGTTTTTGTGTGCTGTTGACACTCGTTTTGATATAACAACTCAGTGATGGTTCAAACTTCCTACTGCTGTCAAGGCCTTTAAACGGAGGCCTATCCTTCCTATATGTGTTTCTGACTGATCACAAAGCCACTCTAAACGAGTCTGAAGTCTAATCTTACGAAATCATGATAAATGAACACCAAACAGCACAGGAAAACATTGACAGCCTTTATGTACACGTTAGAATCAAGAATTTGATGGAATGTGTCTCCTGAAATTCTCATTTCATGTAAAGAGATTTGTGACAACTGGCAGTGTATAAAACAACAATACACAAGTATTTACAACAAATATAACTATGCTACCTCAGCTCATTGACTATGATTATGACAATTATAGTTTTAAACAATGAAGTGGAATGATGCTCTTTTATCCCATTTTCATGACAAGATTTCAATGTTGTGTTAACTCTTCCATTGGGTAAATTGAGTCATTCATGTTTTTGGAATTAGAAAATGTTTGTCGTTACAGTCCCACCATTAAGGTAGGATTTAGATTAAGGCACACGATGAAGTCTCATCAACATTTAAAGAACAACATATATACATACAATTGGTCATGTGGGTCCCACTTGCACCAATAAAACCAAAGTAAATAAATAATACAAAAGTAAATCACCCAGTTTGAATGTTGTCTACTGTCTTGAACAACAGCCACTGATTAAAAACACTGAGGCAGTTACTTCAGGTAAACCTTCAAACTCCACAAAAAACAAGAACATAAGTCCTAGGAAGGAAAATGGAATTACAGATTTTAACTTCCCTCCAAGATAAAGTATGTGAAAGATCATCCAGTTTAGTTTCTGGTTTGGACACATTCTAGGATGTCTCATTGCTGTGGTGTTGACAAAACTCTTGGAGGCCTGCCCGTCACAAAAAATTACACAGACATTCTAAAGGTGAATCCTGAAGGATAGTATTACATCCTGGATACTATTTGACATTCTAAATGTGTTAATGTTCCAAAAGAATATGCAAATATTATTTTGAAGAGAAAACATTGTCAATGTCCAATTCCCAAGACTACTCAGCTCCAGTGAATAAGTCCATTGTATGAGGCATATGAGCCTGACTTGAGCGTCCATAGAGATGTTGCCTTGCCTGTGCCACTCCCTAACCCTCAGGACAAAATCCATGGAAAATTGAAGATATGCATAGTGCTCCGGATTACTGTTGTTTTGTAGTCCTTTATTCCTCTTGAAACGAGGTAACTTAAATAACCTGTAAAACCAGGTCTTCACATGGAAAAGTATGTGATCTCAACCAAATCACATGAAATAATAGAATCAAATGGTATCAGAAACTTCGACATGCCTCCAGTATAACTGATGTAAACAGAAAGTCCAACCCTTAAGATAAATAAATAGTAATTGAAATAAATACCCATAAATGATAAAAAATAAAGCATACATATCTCTTCCCAATATAGTCTATATTACTATGGAATGTGCCTTTTTGTAGCACGTATGAAGATAATTTAGATATAGTTTGCCTTGGCTCAAGATAAGTGTGTGATACATTTCTTTGTACTAAGGTAGTACGTTAGTGCAGTATATTTCTATAACACTTGTCAAATTAAAATAAAATAGTATAGCAACACCGCAAAATGATAAATAAATACCTTTCCATAGGGGGACTTGATAAGTTAAGCACAGTGATAATAAGATAAGTGTGATCTAAAAAGGCATCTGAAGTTTCTTTAACCACCCAATAGTATCCAGGAATCATAGGCTTGACTGGCTTGGCAAAGAGTTGTGATCCCCATGCAAGTCTCCACTGTCGTTAGATGACTCCATCCAGGGATGGAGTAAAATCTCTTCTAAGCTTGGCCGATCCTCTGGTCTGTAGGCAAGGCACCAACGAACCAAAGACTGGCACTCTGGGGGGAAAAAGAAGAAGAGGATTTTCAGTCATGATGAATTGCAATTAGAAATGAAATCCAGAATTTGTTCTGTCATTGCCCTAGAAATGTTGTCAGATAGTAAGAATAGGTCTATGTAGAAATGTACCTTTTGAAATGCGTTTGGTGAAACTTGGCGAGGCCTGCACAATGTCTCTGTCCCTCTCGAAGGGGATGTCCCCACAAACCATGTCGAAGAGAAGCACTCCCAATGACCAGACAGTCAGGGACCGGGCATGGTAGTGCTGATGTTGGATCCACTCAGGAGGACTGTACACTCTGGTGCCTAGTGAGAGAAAGGGACGATTACATTACAAACAAAATAAGAGGCATCAATTCTTCTAAAATAAGTTTAGAGGGGTACATATGGATATAATAAGTAATGTTTTTCACTTACCCTCAAATTCTGTGTAAGCAGTGTCTTTGAGCAGAGCACCAGAGCCGAAGTCAATGATCTTAACATCTCCTGTCCGAGTGTCGACTAAAATGTTCTCATCCTTCACATCTCTATGCACGATCCCTTGTGCTTGACAGAACCGCAGCGCTTCCACTATCTGGAGCATGAACCTGGAAAAACAAGCCCTGGTTAGAATATCATATAAGATCACATTAATGAGCACAGAAAACCCAGCAGCCTCCCACACATGGAAACAGAGTGGGGATGTTTAACCTGTGAGTGAAATAGGTCTACTGACTTGAAACAGTCATATACCTTTGTGCAAGTGGCTCATCCAGGGCTCCCTGCTCTGTGATGAAGTCAAAGAGGTCCTGACTGGGTTGTGGTCTTTCGAACACGATGAGGAATCCCTGTCCTGGCACCTCAAACCAGTCCAGCATCTTGATCACCCCATGGTGCCAGGGTCCTGCCCCTGCTCCACCCCCCAGCTGTAAGAGCAGGGCAATCTCCATGGGTACCAGGTTGGGTTCATCTGGCTGTTGGCAGAGAGAGAGAGAGGGAGGGTTAGTATAATTATGAGTCAGTCAGCATAAATATACTAGTTGCTAAAACACATGAGAATTGTTTTGTCCAGACAGGGGAAATACTGCTACTAAGTTCCTCAAAATTATTTTTTATTTGAGGAAAAACCCTACCACGTAATTTCCACAAAATGACAACCACGTCACGGTTATGAAAACACAACATGTGGTTTCTCTTCCGATTCCCAGCAGAGGGCACAAAATACCAGCTTTTTATTTCCACACATGACCAGACTGTCAGGTGTACAAGAATGGTAACCACAACAAAATACACTTGGCAGAAGCCCCAACAAGAAATAAAAACGCACATCTTAAATCATATAACGTAGTTGTTGTTGTTTTTTTATGGGGGGGGGGGGGGGGGTAAACTTACCAATCGCGCCCATTGCTGCACTCTGTCACTTGAAACTTGTTTAATTGCCACCTAAGGATAAATAAACAATATTAGTGTTCATATGTCATTTTTTTTTTCATTGTTGTTTGTCTAAAAACAGGTTTTGAATTTTTGTTATTGATCATTAATTGACTATGTTCTCTTCACATTTTGCTGTAAGTACCTGCAGACCATCTGAGATGCGTTGACCAGCAAAGACGGACCCAAATCCACCGCTTCCAAGAAGCGCACCTAATTGGTAATGCTTCTCAAAGGACTCTTTACCTGTGGTGTCAAAGAACATACATCAAAACATAATCAAAGCTGTAATGTAGGGTAGGCTATGTAAGAAACTAGCTTTATGTCCACTGCAGTAATTGTGTCATTACTAGGTATGTGTCTTGCTTGTTGTGGAAGCAAATATCTGTACTGGCTATACCTCCTGTCTTGATCAACCTTGATATTCCAGTCAAACGTCAACCATACATTCATGACACATAATAAGCCATTAAATGAAAAACATATGGCACTGGCACCTCCAAATTCTTACCATTTTTTCCTTTGACATCCTCCTGATCCAAGCGCAGCTCAACACTACGTTTGTCCAACATTTTAAAAATTGAATATATCCGAAGTAAAAAAGTTGGGTAAATTTAGTTCAAGGTTATGTCCATTCCGAATTTAATCCGCGAAGAATCTTCAGTTTTCAAAATATCCAACACAGAGCAAGTTGCTGTAGACAGCTGCGTTTCCCAGAAAGACCGATTTGAACAACAAACTGACACGTCTGGCCAAAGAAAGTTTGTTGCTGTTTTAAGGTTAAGACTGTGAACACGCCCACACGAAGCATCTATCCAATCACCGCGGAATTAGCAGTAGTATTTTGAATTGTGGTCCAATCACAATGTAGCATGATTTACCTATATTAATATTCATATACTACTACTACTTTCATCCGAATTAGCTACATTCCAGTAAACGAGGGGTCTTTTGATGAGAAGCACCTTCCTTGTGGTTTTTGTTTATGCTTCTGCTTTTAGCAACTAACTTCAGCGCGCACATCGCTCTTCTTGTTACGGTGCATGATGTGCTTCATTGTGTATGTACATGCACTGTGCATAGATGTGTGCTCATGGAATGAACATAATATTTAACATTTTACTGAAGTCAATTGCACATAGCTCTGTCATCATCAACAGTATTGTAATAGATGAATAATAACAAAGCATTGTCTGTCTGTCTCACTATTGCAGCCACATTTCCTGCACTACATATTATGGCTGTTATTGTTTGGAGATAATCCTTGCAGATTAGTTTGTGAAAGAAATGCTGCCAGAAGGTTAACATTCATTTTGGGCGGGAGTAAAACACAGTCCCCATAAGTAAACAGTGAAGGGTTGGGTGGCAATAACAGAGAAAAAAAACCCTCACATAAATGGGAATTCCCTTGCACTTGTTATCTACAAATCAAATCAGTTATTCAGGTAAATGCAATTAAATATTTAGAAGTGTATATCAATTCGAGTGGGTATGAAATTAATAAGTACAGTTATAGCAAAAAGAAATACACAAAAGTGCTGTTTTTCAGAAAGATTTCCTCTTTTATTCCAAGAAAAAAATGTATTTTCATCCCAAACAAGAAAATAAAATAAAACAAACTTATATTAACCAATCATTAAGAGGATAAGTATGACCATTTTTATATATTTTTTCTTCTTGTTTTCTATGATGATACTGGTTGTGTTCAATTAAACATGCAACTAAATAAGTCCAATGATGGTGTCCATGGTATTAGAAAGGAAGGGGTTGGAGTCTGATTATGCTGGATCTTTATTGGTAGGTGTGGAGAAGCAGAGATGGATGGATAGGGAGAAGGAGGAGAGAAGACTGGATGGTTACATGATGACGTTGGGATTTTCCCCTGTTCTGCCTCCTTCCTTCCAGGGGACGTTGTGTGTGCTTGATCCCCTTTATCAACTGCTGTCTGGAGAGGGTTCTCTATGCATTGAGTTCTTCTTCATGCTGTCAAGGTACTCTTGTTGTGAAACGGCCAAGACTGACGCCAGAATCTCATCATCCTCCCAGTCTGTTAAGCCTACACCATAGAGAAAATGAAAAATACACATTCTAGCATTCTAATGTAAAAGAGGACTTGAGAGAAAAAAAACCTGCTAGTTATTTTTAAATCAAGAGGGGTACTGGAATTACTAGTTTACAAAATATTGTTATTTGCCGTTTATATTCTGCACATTAGTGACAGTGGTTAACATAAGATTTTGTTTGGTTTTTGTGTTGGGAAAAGCTTGTACACAAATACGAATGTGACAGTATATGCACCCAATCACGACCAAGCAATATGAGAGGGAGGTCATTTCAGGTGAATTGCATCTGTTCTCAGCTTTGCTCCTGCACCGCACCCTTGTTTCATGTTTCTACTATTCTACGTTCTTACATTTCTTCTTCTGATTTCCTGTTTATTTTTTCCTTTCAGATACAGAGTTGCTGTGCGATAGAACATACCATAATGACAAATTATCATCAAAAATAAATGTCCTATGGTGACCCAAATACTTTAAAGCTACATGTACGTGTATCTGATAGGTGCACACTACATGTTTTTAAATGTATGTAAATTGTAAATGATGTTGTCTGTAATGTATTTTTCGTAATGTGTCGGAACCCAGTAAGACTAGCTGTCGCCATTGGCCTCGGCTAATGGGATCCTAATCAAATTAAAAATGATTTGATGATACATGTTAATGATAGGATAGGTTACAGTGTGAAAGGTATGTTTTTTTACCCCCACTAATCTCTAGTATATGTGTTGTTATTCAAGTGTCTTCAGTCCAGCAGCAGCTACAGCACCATGCCTTCACAACAGAGGATGTGTAATAACACTGTCTACAACACTGTGATTGATATGCCTTATGCTAAGGATTGCTGCTAGTGTTGACAACTATCCCAACTGAAATATTACATCTCAAACTGACCATACTACCTATTCTATGAATAACATATAAATAAAATAACATAGAACAGCAACAGTAGTAAATGCCTTAAGGGGACAAATAAAGTTGTTTGAATTGAATTGAATGCATTCATTTGAGTAAGTCTTTAAGTAAAGAAAGAGCCAGTGATTATCTTACCGAAGGCTGTGGGTGACATTTCTTTCATGATAGCACGGTATTCCAGTGCCGGGTACAGGGACTTCAGAGAGGAGGAGGTGGGTCTATCAGGCCCAACACAAGCCTGGTTGCTGGGACCTAGAATAGGGGGCAGAGAGAGATTCCCATCATCAAAACAGGATTCTTTACAAAGATGAAACCCTAAGATTCCAATGTTCATTTGATACACCACCATCTCAGTTGATTCATGGCACTTCTGATGGTTTGTCACAGTGACTAACCTGGGGCACAAGGTGAAGGGGGCTTCGACATAAGGGCTGCCCCAGCAGGGGAGGGAGGCTTGTTGCTTGTGTCTGAGTGGGAGGGGTCAGTGTTCTCCGGTGAGGGAGCTGAGCTGCGCTGCCGGGGCGAGCGGGCGCTCCACTCCTCCAGACCACTAGAAGATGCTGCGGTGGCCGAGCTGCAGGTGGCACTAGCCTTACGGGGCTAGGAGGAGAGGGATACAGGGACCTCATTAAAACACATGCCAGCTGCTGAAACACTTCAATACTGGACACTAGACTCATATAAACCAAACGTGTCACTGAAATGCTCTTCAATCTGCCATGTACAGTTGAAGTCAGAAGTTTACATATACTTAGGTTGGAGTCATTAAAACTCGTTTTTCAACCACTCCATAAATTTCGTGTTAACAAACTACAGTTTTGGCAAGTCAGTTAGGACATCTACTTTGTGCATGACAAGTAATTTTTCCAACACAATTGTTTACAGACAGATTATTTCACTTATAATTCACTGTATCACAATTCCAGTGGGTCAGAAGTTTACATACACGAAGTTGACTTTGCCTTTAAACAGCTTGGAGAATTCCAGAAAATGACGTCATGGCTTTAGAAGCTTCTGATAGGCTAATTGACATAATTTGAGTCAATTGGAGGTGTACCTGTGGATGTATTTCAAGGCCTACCTTCAAACTTAGTGCCTCTTTGCTTGACATCATGGGAAAATCAAAAGAAATCAGCCAAGACCTCAGAAAAAAAATTGTAGACCTCCACAAGTCTGGTTCATCCTTGGGAGCAATTTCCAAACGCCTGAAGGTACCACGCTCATCTGTACAAACAATAGTACGCAAGTATAAAACCATGGGACCACGCAGCCGTCATACTGCTCAGGAAGGAGACGCGTTCTGTCTCCTAGAGATGAACGTACTTCAGTGTGAAAAGTGCAAATCAATCCAAGAACAACAGCAAAGGACCATGTGAAGATGCTGGAGGAAACAGGTACAAAAGTATCTATATCCACAGTAAAACGAGTCCTATATCGACATAACCTGAAAGGCCACTCAGCAAGGAAGAAGCCACTGCACCAAAACCGCCATAAAAAAGCCGAACTACGGTTCGCAACTGCACATGGGGACAAAGATCGTACTTTTTTGAGAAATGTCCTCTGGTCTGATGAAACAAAAACAGAACTGTTTGGCCATAATTTCCTATTTGTAAGTCGCTCTGGATAAGAGCGTCTGCTAAATGACTTAAATGTAAATAATGACCATCGTTATGTTTGGAGGAAAAAGGGGGTTGCTTGCAAGCCGAAGAACACCATCCCAACCGTGAAGCACGAGGTGGCAGCATCATGCTGTGGGGGTGCTTTGCTGTAGGAGGGACTGGTGCACTTCACAAAATAGATGGCATCATGAGGAAGGAAAATTATGTGGATATATTGAAGCAACATCTCAAGACATCAGTCAGGAAGTTAAAGCTTGGTCGCAAATGGGTCTTCCAAATGGACAATGACCCCAAGCATACTTCCAAAGTTGTGGCAAAATGGCTTAAGGACAACAAAGTCAAGGTACTGGAGTTGCCATCACAAAGCCCTGACCTTAAATCCTATAGAAAATGTGTGGGCAGAACTGAAAAAGCCTACAAACCTGACTCAGTTACACCAGCTCTGTCAGGAGGAATGGGCCAAAATTCACCCAACTTATTGTGGGAAGCTTGTGGAATGCTACCCGAAACGTTTGACTCAAGTTAAACAATTTAAAGGCAATGCTACCCAATACTAATTGAGTGTATGTAAACTTCTGACCCACTGGGAATGTGATGAAATAAATAAAAGCTGAAATAAATCATTCTCTCTACTATTATTCTGACATTTCACATTCTTAAAATAAAGTGGTGATCCTAACTGACCTAAGACAGGGAATTTTTACTAAGATTAAATGTCAAGAATTGTGAAAAACTGAGTTTAAATGTATTTGGCTAAGGTGTATGTAAACTTCCGACTTCAACTGTACTTGCACATTTTGTCTCACCTGGCGCGCCTGCTTCTCTTGGTCCTGGAGCCACTGCAGGTAGGACTCCCTGGCCACCTGCTCCTCGATGGCCTCGTTGGTGGCCTCCCAGTCCGTGGCTCTCTTCTTGTCCTCCAGCATCTGCTGCTCGATCCACGACTCCTCAGAGGTCTTAATAGCGTTCTTCATAAGCGACTGGTCTACATACTGCTGGGAAGGAGGGAGAGGTCAGAGGTCACTAACTGGACATAAAACCGGATAGGTCAGGGGTCACTAACTGGACATAAAACTGAAAAATCGATACAGTTCCATATCGGGATATTATTTTTGATTATATAACGTATCGTTTTGACAATATCGCAATATTATTTTTGCACTAGTTGGCTGGGACTCCAGTAGTCTCCGTCTTTTTAAATAGGGATCCAAACTCATTTTCTCATGGCTCACTCTCTTCTCCCTCTGCAGCAGACATATGGTGAGCAATATGTACATATAGAATTGTGAGAATAGCATTACATATCGTATCGGCACCTAAGTATTGTGATAATATCGTATCGTGAGGTCCCCGGCAATTCCCAGCCCTAGTGGAAATGTGCAACCAAGTATCAATGTGTAACAACCAAGACAATATGTAACAACCAAGACAATAGGTAACAACCAAGACAATGGGTAACAACCAAGACAATGGGTAACAACCAAGACAATATGTAACAACCAAGACAATGGGTAACAACCAAGACAATGGGTAACAACCAAGACAATGGGTAACAACCAAGACAATGGGTAACAACCAAGACAATATGTAACAACCAAGACAATGGGTAACAACCAAGACAATGGGTAACAACCAAGACAATGGGTAACAACCAAGACAATGGGTAACAACCAAGACAATGGATAACAACCAAGGCAAAATCTTCAGATCCTTCACACCTTATCAAGGAGATTTGACAAGTTTAGTCTGCTGGGTATCAATAAAAGGTTTCGCTATCCGTCTAGAAATTACTCCAGGTCTTTGATATCTTTGTCCGTGAGCAAGAGCTTCTGTGCGCGCAAATGCAAAAACTGCCTCCAGCCTTCCTTGGAAACAATGCCCGTGTCTTAATCTAAGGCTTAATTGGGATGGCTAGGCGTGCGGCCCTCTGTGGGAGCTCCACCTATGGTAGACTACATGTCCTTAGAGCCTGAACAGTCCGACTGCCAGTCTGTTCACCATAACGGTATGGTTCTCTGCCCTGCCAAACAGGCTGCTCAATATGATGAATGCGCCCAATACACAGAGGTCACAGCTGTCCCAACTAATAACAACTCTTTAGGCCTACCGATAACATCTGATGTGCTTCTAAAGCACTTTGAGTACCCAAGATACCTAAACAGTGCTATTGTTATCTAGCTAGCACTTCATGACAACCGCAATGTTATGAAGCTGTTTACTGACAACCAATGACACTATTAAGACAATACGTCTTTTCCCTTACAAATTAGAAAGTTCAAGAAAATGAAGTAGATAAGACTCTCCATCCACATTTGTGTTGTAATCAAAACATCGCTGCTTCTAACTGGCTCAAACTGGCACTGACATATGCCAACATTCAACCAATAACAACACAAAACAGGAATCTTCAATAAATACAATAACATAAAAAAAACAGCTATTTTGTTGAGTGCTACAGTGGTTTTCCTGGCCAAGGAGCCCAGGCTAGTGTTTTCTAATTACTGTGGGGTCATTCATCATGGATGATGCGCTGCTTGTTGACCATGGTAGTGTTATCATTAGGCATCTCAACACAAACAGAACAGTGTACTGCTAATAGGCTCCTCCAGAGAGACAGGGACGTGTGGAATGTTGCCCCTCTCTGAGCTCAGCCTCCCTTCCTTTGATGTGTATGTATTCTGAAAGTGGGACACTCTTGTCTCGCAGGGATCATAAGCTATGATGACCCAAAGACTGTCACCTCTCTCCCACTGACTGAGTCCGCCTGGCTGCCTGACTGTGTCTGGACGGACCCATGGACGTCATCCATTTCGTCAGGGGAAAGTCACAAGATCTCAGAATGATTCGGTTATGAAAGATTTCAATTGCACTATTACACAACCAATGCAGCATCCAAAACGCCTTTATAACTTTATGCAGCTAATCAATTAAGTCAAATTTGATAACAACCACCTGTTTAAGACAGGAAAAGGCAATGGAACGGATAACAACACTAACAACAATGCTAGCCAGCTGCTAATTGGTTAATGTCAATAAATCAAATAATCATGAACTCAACATAAACTGCTCGTCACTGAAATGACACTGCAATGTGTCTGTGCCTCAGGGGCAATGCAGGCTGCCAATTGGAACATGTCAATGCACTGAAAGGCAACGATTAGGCAACAGTGCTTTCAAACAATCATATAGAGAGACAGAGGGGTCAACTGAGTCACACAGAGGAAGAAGACAGTCACACCGTCGTAAACAGGGCCATCATCTCTAGCATCGTAAATCAAGGTGAATCAAGGAGAATCAAGGTGAATCAAGGTGAATCAAGGTGAATCAAGGTGAATCAATTAGAATCAAGGGCACCTAATGACATTCTCCAGAATGCACATTTAACCTTTATTCTGACAGGGAGCCATGCTGAGATCAAGGTCTCTCTTATAGATGAGCCCACATAACACTTACTCTACCAGTTGTCCTCAAATTGCATGTTTTACACATCTAAAAACAGTCTTTCTTTTCAAGATGTTGGTACCCACCCCTGGTTTTAAAGCAGGAAGCCCAAGCCCTACTCCAATTGTGGCTTTGTTGGGGTTCACCACAGAGTTGTAGTGAATGTTACGATGGTAGCTGACTCTGATTGGTTCGTCATTGTTTTGATGAATGCCATGGAACGTGTTGATTGGTTCTGGAAGAGGAGGAAGGGGGGGGGGGGGGGGAAGAGTTAACAGAACTACATGATCAATGCAGTGCACTACTATGTCCACACTTATTCAGAAGATATTCAATTTAAAACAATAATGCCCAAATTGTCTAGACGTTAAATCAATATTAAAATGGCAGTTCTGTTTGAAAAACAGTCCAATTACTCACAGTACCTATTAGTAATCTCTCTCAAGTAGGCCTACACGTCAAAGCCATAACACTCCAAAATTACAAAATGTGACCAGTAATAATACTATAATATATACTATTTATCAGTCACTTTTATACAAAGCAACTTACAGTCATATGCTTGCATAAATCTTTACGTATGGGTGGTCCTGGGAATGGAACCCACTATCCTGGCGTCACAAGCGCCATTGCTCTACTGACTGAGTACAGAGGACCATTAGCTCTGCTAATAATGCGCCTGGCATGGCCCACTACTGAACAACACACCTGTGCCTTCCTGGTAAACTTCCACTGGTCGATTGTACATTTCTGCCATAGCCTGCATCTCGATGTGGTTCCCGTGGCAGTTGTTTTTCCTCTTCCTGTTGATGTACGTGGTGAAGTCTTCTGTCACGTAGTTCGAGAAGTAGTCTGCATTTTTTGTCTGAAATTAGAGGTTCACATTTTCATTATTAAAAACCCCAACAGGTGAAATCTGACTGGCAACCAAAGAAAGAAGGAAACTTACCAAGTAGTCCATGCAGTGTTTACGGACAACTTCATGCATATCTTGGTCTCCATATACTTGATCAGCTGCAAACAAGAGGGAATCAGGTGTTAAAACAACATGCAACATACATCTTCCTGACGAAGCCCAGATCAAATTAATACGTATGAAGTAGCATATGACTGACAAAGTATGACTAAGTATGATTAATGCAGTTGTATGTAATTTCATCAATAAGGATCTATGGGACCATTTTACAGTGGGGAAAAAAAGTTTTTAGTCAGCCACCAATTGTGCAAGTTCTCCCACTTAAAAAGATGAGAGAGGCCTGTAATTTTCATCATAGGTACACGTCAACTATGACAGACAAAATTAGAATTTTCTTTCCAGAAAATCACTTTGTAGGATTTTTAATGAATTTATTTGCAAATTATGGTGGAAAATAAGTATTTGGTCAATAACAAAAGTTTCTCAATACTTTGTTATATACCCTTTGTTGGCAATGACACAGGTCAAACGTTTTCTGTAAGTCTTCACAAGGTTTTCACACACTGTTGCTGGTATTTTGGCCCATTCCTCCATGCAGATCTCCTCTAGAGCAGTGATGTTTTGGGGCTGTCGCTGGGCAACACAGACTTTCAACTCCCTCCAAAGATTTTCTATGGGGTTGAGATCTGGAGACTGGCTAGGCCACTCCAGGACCTTGAAATGCTTCTTACGAAGCCACTCCTTCGTTGCCCGGGCGGTGTGTTTGGGATCATTGTCATGCTGAAAGACCCAGCCACGTTTCATCTTCAATGCCCTTGCTGATGGAAGGAGGTTTTCACTCAAAATCTCACGATACATGGCCCCATTCATTCTTTCCTTTACACGGATCAGTCATCCTGGTCCCTTTGCAGAAAAACTGCCCCAAAGCATGATGTTTCCACCCCCATGCTTCACAGTAGGTATGGTGTTCTTTGGATGCAACTCAGCATTCTTTGTCCTCCAAACACGACGAGTTGAGTTTTTACCAAAAAGTTTTATTTTGGTTTCATCTGACCATATGACATTCTCCCAATCCTCTTCTGGATCATCCAAATGCACTCTAGCAAACTTCAGACGGGCCTGGACATGTACTGGCTTAAGCAGGGAAACACGTCTGGCACTGCAGGATTTGAGTCCCTGGCGGCGTAGTGTGTTACTGATGGTAGGCTTTGTTACTTTGGTCCCAGCTCTCTGCAGGTCATTCACTAGGTCCCCCCGTGTGGTTCTGGGATTTTTGCTCACCGTTCTTGTGATCATTTTGACCCCACGGGGTGAGATCTTGCGTGGAGCCCCAGATCGAGGGAGATTATCAGTGGTCTTGTATGTCTTCCATTTCCTAATAATTGCTCCCACAGTTGATTTCTTCAAACCAAGCTGCTTACCTATTGCAGATTCAGTCTTCCCAGCCTGGTGCAGGTCTACAATTTTGTTTCTGGTGTCCTTTGACAGCTCTTTGGTCTTGGCCATAGTGGAGTTTGGAGTGTGACTGTTTGAGGTTGTGGACAGGTGTCTTTTATACTGATAACAAGTTCAAACAGGTGCCATTAATACAGGTAACGAGTGGAGGACAGAGGAGCCTCTTACAGAAGAAGTTACAGGTCTGTGAGAGCCAGAAATCTTGCTTGTTTGTAGGTGACCAAATACTTATTTTCCACCATAATTTGCAAATAAATTCATAAAAAATCCTACAATGTGATTTTCTGGATTTTTTCCCTCAATTTGTCTGTCATAGTTGACGTGTACCTATAATGAAAATTACAGGCCTCTCTCATCTTTTTAAGTGGGAGAACTTGCACAATTGGTGGCTGACTAAATACTTTTTTCCCCCCACTGTATCTAAAGCAAGTGCACATTTTTTATCATCATTATTGCACATTTGAATGCATAAGATGGTAGATTGACTGTAAAGGGGTATTTTGGCTGCCTTTTTCTGTGGTTGCATCCCCAGCTATACGTGATCTATATAGAGATATGAGTTGAGTCACTGGTATGATCCACAGATGTAAACAAAGCTAAAAGGTTCTCTCCTCAGCCCCCCCCCCCCCCCCCCCCTTCCTCTACCAGCATAAAATATGCAAATGAGCACCAGTTTCAGTCTTCATTCCGGCAAGTCACATGGTAATGTAAGCCGCAAAGATTCTGAGAAACTCTTGGTCAATTTCCTCTTTCTCAGTATCAACCTGCTTAGCATAGGCGGGAACAGAAATACATTTAGAAAAATGGTTATGGAAATAGAATAAGAGTAAAACCTATATCTTACTTCCCACCATCGAACATATCTTTATTTAGTAAAAAATATGCACTATCATTCAAAAGTTTGGACAAACCTACTCATTCAAGGGTTTTTCTTTATTTTTACTATTTTTTACTTTGTAGAATAATGGTGAAGACATCAAAACTATGAAATAACACATATGGAATCATGTAGTAACCAAAAAAAAGTGTTAAACAAATGAAAATATATTTTATATTTGAGATTCTTCAAATAGCCACCCTTTGCCTTGATGACAGCTTTGCACACTCTTGGCATTCTCTCAACCAGCTTCATGAGGTAGTCACCTGGAATGCATTTCAATTAACATGTGTGCCTTCTTAAAAGGTCATTTGTGGAATTTCTTTCCTTCTTAATGCGTTTGAGCCAATCAGTTGTGTTGTGACAAGGTAGGGGTGGTATACAGAAGATAGCCCTATATAAGTCCATATTATGGCAAGAACAGCTCAAATAAGCAAAGAGAAACAACAGTCCATCATTACTTTAAGACATGAAGGTCAGTCAATACGGAACATTTCAAGAACTTTAAAGTTTCTTCAAGTGCAGTCGCAAAAAACATTAAGCGATATGATGAAACTGGCTCTCATGAGGACTGCCACAGGAATGGAAGACCCAGAGTTACCTCTGCTGCAGAGGATAAGCTAATTAGAGTTACCAACCTCAGAAACTGCAGGCCAAATAAATGCTTCAGAGTTCAATTTCTTTTTTTTTCTTCACCTTTATTTAACCAGGTAAGCCAGTTGAGAACAAGTTCTCATTTACAACTGTGACCTGGCCAAGATAAAGCAATGCAGTGCGGTAAAAACAACAACACAGAGTTACATATGGGGTAAACAAAACATAAAGTCAAAAATACAACAGAAAATATATATATACAGTGTGTGCGAATGTAGTAAGTTATGGAGGTAAGGCAATAAATATGCCATAGTGCAAAATAGTTAAAATTTCGTATTAACACTGGAATGATAGATGTGCAAAAGATGATGTGCAAATAGAGATACTGGGGTGCAAATTAGCAAAATAAATAATATGGGGATGAGGTAGTTTGGTGGGCTAATTTCAGATGGGCTGTGTACAGGTGCAGTGATCGGTAAGCTGCTCTGACAACTGACGCTTAAAGTTAGTGAGGGAGATAAGAGTCTCCAGCTTCAGAGATTTTTGCAGTTCGTTCCAGTCATTGGCAGCAGAGAACTGGAAGGAATGGCGGCCAAAGGAGGTGTTGGCTTTGGGGATGACCAGTGAGATATACCTGCTGGAGCGCAGACTACGGGTGGGTGTTGCTATGGTGACCAGTGAGCTAAGATAATACGGGGATTTGCCTAGCAGTGATTTATAGATGACCTGGAGCCAGTGGGTTTGGCGACAAATATGTAGTGAGGGCCAGCCAACAAGAGTGTACAGGGGCTTTGGTGACAAAACGGATGGCACTGTGATAGACTACATCCAATTTGCTGAGTAGAGTGTTGGAGGCTATTTTGTAAATGACATCGCCGAAGTCAAGGATCGGTAGGATAGTCAGTTTTACGAGGGCATGTTTGGCAGTATGAGTGAAGGAGGCTTTGTTTGCGAAATAGGAAGCCGATTCTAGATCTAACTTTAGATTGGAGATGCTTAAAGTGAGTCTGGAAGGAGAGTTTACAGTCTAACCAGACACCTAGGAACAAACACATCTCAACATCAACTGTTCAGAGGAGACTGTGTGAATCAGGCCTTCATGGTCGAATTGCTGCAAAGAAATCACTACTAAAGGACATCAATAAGAAGAAGAGACTTGCTTGGGCCAAGAAACACGAGCAATGGACATTAGACCGGTGGAAATGTGTCCTTTGTCTGGAGTCCAAATTGGTGATTTTTGGTTCCAACCGCCATGTCTTTGTGAGACGCGGTGTGGGTGAACGGATGATCCCTGCATGTGTATTTCCCACGTAAAGCATGGAGGAGGAGGTGTTATGGTGTGGAGGTGCTTTGCTGGTGACACTGTCTGTGATTTATTTAGAATTCAAGGCACACTTAACCAGCATGGCTACCACAACATTCTGCAGCAATACGCCATCACAACTGGTTTGGGCTTAGTGGGACTATCATTTGTTTTTCAACAGGACAATGACCCAACACAACTTCAGCCTGTGTAAGGGCTACTTTACCAAGAAGGAGAGTGATGGAGTGCTGCATCAGATGACCTGGCCTCCACAATCCCCCGACCTCAACCCAATTGAGATGGTTTGGGATGAGTCAGACCGCAGAGTGAAGGAAAAGCAGCCAACAAGTGCTCAGCGTATGTGGGAACTCCTTCAACACTGTTGGAAAAGCATTCCAGGTGAAGCTGGTTGAGCGAATGCCGAGAGTGTGCAAAGCTGTCATCAAGGCAAAGGGTGGCTATTTGAAGAATCTCAAATATAAAATATATGTTGATTTGTTTAACACTTTTTTGGTTACTACATGATTCCATGTGTTATGTCATAGTTTTGATGTCTTCACTAATATTCTACAATGTAGAAAATAGTAAAAAATAAAGAAAAACCCTGAAATGAGTAGGTGTGTCCAAACTTTTGATTGGTACTGTATATATCTACAATGCAAACTAAAAAGAGCAAGAGTTTTAACCTGCAGATAGTGACTAAAGTCTTTGATAAATGTCATTTCCAGCAACTGTCAGTGCCATAATGTCAATATCGACAACGTAGTCTTGAATTTCACTACAAAAAACCTACAGTGTTTTGAAGCTTGTGTATGACGAGCACAAAATATTCTAGTTCCCTTGTGACTGAATGTTCTCATGGCAAGATGTGGCA